TTCCACGTTCATATTTGTAACATAGAAAGTTAGAAAAGAAAAAATAAGTGAATATCAACTATGGTATGGTGATGTAATCTGGAGTCTGTCGTTTTTGCCTCGTTTCCTTATTGTTATTATCCCAGCGAGTTTTTATGTATGTACTCACCTTTGTGTAAAAAGTATATACTACAAATAAAATCAAATATTTGTTTTGTTATAGCACTCTCAAGCTTAGCATTGCAATACTTTTATAATATATCATAAAATATATAAAAATAAAATATAAAATTATGAAATCAAAATTACACTGGACTAATTCAATTCACTTCAGTATATGTGTACACACTGTACAGTCGTTAGATATCTCATCTTATTCCTAGTAGTATGTAGGACATACCCCAATTACTCAGATTCGAGCAGGTAGTTATCATTTTCGTCACCAGGCGGCTAATTGGGGGGAAATAACATGACAGGGTATTACAAAGTTCCTTTAAACTTGAATATTCATCAGTTTTAGTGGTTCATTTTTCATATTACCACTATTTAAATTAAATATGTCCACCAAAAGAAAATATTATCTGCCCAACGTAAGAAAGATATCTGAGTGAAATCAGTCAAGTAAAGAAACACTTCTCTATGAATAATGAGCTGGCAAATCATTGAGAAAGAGTCGAAGGCAAATATACAAAGCCGGCTTTCAAAGCCGGCTTCTACAGTACATCAGAAGCCGGCTTCTGGCGTCACCAAGAAGCCGGCTTTTAAAAACCGGCTTCGAATGACTTACAGAAGCCGGCTTCTGCAGTTACCAAGAAGCCATTTTTAAAAGCCAGATTCTCTCTCTCAATCATTTTGGTTGTGCATTATGCATCTTATTCTCATATAATTAGCATGGAAATGAGAGAAAAAATGAAAATAAGTAAAATTACAACATATTGCAAGAGTTTTTGCAAAAAGTAATTTCAAACCAAAACTATGGGGGAAATTTAATTCTAAGTAAAAATATCGATGAATTAAATCATGTTCGTTAAATAAGAGTAGATTATGCATTGCATTGATAAAAACGCATCGCTCATTTTACAAAACTGGCTCCAACTTGGAGCCTGTTTGCAAATCAGCTCGCTCCATCTTACACAAGCTATGTAGGGGCAATCTAGCAACTGGGAATAACGGGATACTGTTTCATGATAATTGTTATGTGCATTATGCATCTTATTCTCGTATAATTTGCATGAAAATGAGAGAAAAATGAAAAATACGTAGAATTATTACATATTTCAAGATTTTTTGGAAAAAGTCATTTCTAGCCAAAACTATGACAGTAAATTGAATTCTAAGCACAGATATCGATGAATAAGATCACATTTATCAAATCAGAATAGATTATGCATTGCATTTCCGTTGAATAAAAACGCACTGCTCACTTTTCAAAACTGGCTCCAACTTGGAGCCAGTTTGCAAATCAGCTAGCCCCATATGACAAATGCTATGTAGGTACAATCTGATAACTGGGAATCACGAAATACTATCTCACGGTTATTTTTATGTGCATTATACATGTTATGCTCGTATAATTTGCATGAAAATGAGAAAAAACTGAAAAATACATAAAGTTGTAATATATTTAAAGATTTTTGCAAAAAGTCATTTCAAGCCAAAACTATGAGAGAAAAATCAATTCTAAGTAAAAAAATCGATGAATTAGATCATGTTCACCAAATCAGAACAGATGATGCATTGCATTTCCGTTTAATAAAAACGCATCGCTCATTTTACAAAACTGGCTCCAACTTGGAGCCAGTTTACATATCAGCTCGCTCCATCTTACACAAACTATGTAGGGACAATCTAGCAACTGGGAATCACGGGATACTGTCTCACGATCATTTATATGTGCATTATGCATCTTATTCTCGTATAATTTGCATGAAAATGAGAAAAAACTGAAAAATACGTAAAATTGTAACTTATTTCAAGATTTTTTGCAAACAGTCATTTCAAGCCAAAACTATGAGAGAAAATTCATTTCTAAGTAAAAATATCGATGAATTAGGTCACGTTCGCTAAATCAGAACAGATTATGCATTGCATTTCCGTTTAATAAAAACGCACCGCTCATTTTTCAAAACTGGCTCCAACTTGGAGCCAGTTTTCAAATCAGCTCGCTCCATCTTACACAAGCTATGTAGGGACAATCTAGCAACTGGGAATCACGGGATACTGTCTCACGATCATTTCTATGTGCATTATGCATCTTATTCTCGTATAATTTGCAGGAAAATGAGAAAAGAATGAAAAATACGTAAAATTGTAACTTATTTCAAGATTTTTTGGAAAAGTCATTTCAAGCCAAAACTATGTGAGAAAATTCATTTCTAAGTAAAAATATCGATGAATTAGATCACGTTCACTAAATCAGAACAGATTATGCATTGCATTTCCGTTTAATAAAAACGCACCGCTCATTTTTCAAAACTGGCTCCAAATGAATTTTCTCTCATAGTTTTGGCTTGAAATGACTTTTTGCAAAAAATCTTGAAATAAGTTACAATTTAACGTATTTTTCAGTTTTTCCTCATTTTCAGGCCAATTATACGAGAATAAGATGCATAATTCACATAAAAATAATCGTGAGACAGTATCCCGTGATTCCCAGTTGCTAGATTGCCCCTACATAGCTTGCGTAAGATGGAGCGAGCTGATTTGTAAACTGGCTCCAAGTTGGAGCCAGTTTTGAAAAATGAGCGATGCGTTTTTATTAAACGGAAATGCAATGCATAATCTGTTCTGATTAAGTGAACATGATCTAACTCATCGATATTTTTACTTAGACTTTAATTTTCTCTTATAGTTTTGACTTGAAATGACTTTTTGCAAAAAATCTTGAATTATGTTATAATTTTACATATTTTTCAGTTTTCCTTATTTTCATGCAGATTATACGAGAATAAGATGCATAATCCACATCAAAATGATCGGGAGACAGTATCTCGTGATTCCCAGTGGCTAGATTATCCGTTAATAGCTTGTGTTTAATGGTGCGAGCTGATTTGAAAACTGGCTCCAAATTGGAGCCAGTTTTGAAAAATGAGCGGTGCGTTTTTATTAAACAGAAATTCAATGCATAATATTTTTGGAATTGATGAACGTGATCAAATTCATCGATATCCATGCTTAGAATTCAATTTACCCGTATAGTTTTGCAAAAATATGACAATATAAACTATATTCAAAAGCCATCTTCTGCAGTACGTCAGTAAGTAAGAAGCCAGTTTTAAAAGCCGGCTTCTTGGTGACTCCAGAAGCCGGCTTCTGTTGTCCTTCAGAAGCCGGTTTTTAAAAGCCGGCTTCTTGTTGACTGTAGAAGCCGGCTTCTGTAGTACGTAAGAAGCCAGTTTGTAAAAGCCGACTTCTTGGTGACTCCAGAAGCCGGCTTCTGTAGTACGTAAGAAGCCAGTTTGTAAAAGCGGTTTTTGCCTTCGAGTACTTCTGAAATCATTAGTAGCTGGTTTTTGTTATTGTATAATGTACAGTCCATTACACGTGATTTTTGCTAACTAATTTATAAAACCATATGTTTAAAACCACGAGATAAAAGAGAGATTTCGCACATACGTAAAATACAACTTATAACGTATACTTATACTTATAAGAAGACGTACAAGGTGTTTCATAATGTGGGTATTTCGTCAGGAAAGATCTTCTCGGACTGTAATAAATAAAGGTCAAAGGGATGCCTTTTGTACTTTCTTGAATTGTAGCATGTTTAATTAGTTGATCCAAAATAGGCTCATATATAGTACATAAATATAGACCCATCTCTTCTCAAATTGACTTTTTGGAGATGTTCGTTATGAAACACCCTGTATGTCATTTGTTGAGCTACTGAATGGGTCGTTTCCAGGAATTGCTAGAACCTACTGGTTTGATTGGTGTTTCAAATTGATGGTTAAAGTATTTGATTGGATACTGTTCCTACTCAGCCGATTAATTTAGAAAATGCTTGCGGTCAATTGTTCCACACACATGTAAGTAAAGCTTTATACGTAGATCCAACTGTATACGTTTATCATCTACGTGTATATACAATTTTGTAAGTTCATTGAACTTATACTGATCATGAAAACTTTGAAATAATCAACTTGTTTATGTAATGACTCACTTGAAAGGATCGTGACTCACTTTAAAGGATCGTGTTTAGAATACACTACAACTACTAGGACACGGAAGCAAGCATTTAAGTGCATTCACAGTCTCTGGTTGATGGAGCTTTTCTGTATCGGGAATAGTTATGTTCCATTAAGTACAATTTAAAATTGATTTTAAAAAAAATATAATAGTTCGACATGACCCTTAAAACTATACGTATACGTATAAGTTGTACTTTCACTTATGTGCGAAATCTCTCTAATAATTCACATATGTTCATATATGCATATCTATTCATGAACGTAGAAGTGCCAATGTTTGTGTTTAATCATTCTAAAAATACTTATATTTCACACAATGAAGCAGTAAAATAAGTATATTTGAACTCAGTTGCACTGTATTTTAATTTCGTAATGCCATAAGAAGTATATTTCTATGTTTTGCGTCCCCTTGCATGTACGATTTTGAGTAAATCAGAAAAAACAAACACAGCCAAATAGCAACCACAAAGGTCTGAAAGTACCGTAGCATTTCGTTCAGTCAGAATCAGAAATGACGGACAATTTGATGCAGGTCAAATTTGATAGTGTTATTGATTACTTTGGCATGTATAGTGTATTTTCTTATTTTTGGTTACCTTTGAATAATAGCTATGTTTAAATATATTTATATGATGCATGTCTTGTAATGCGTTTGTAATCACTGCAAATCGGAGTGACATTCCTTTTCCCATAAAATGTATACAATTCTTAAGTAAACAAGTTTCTGTTTTTTCTTGAGTTTGTTTTTGTTTTCCTTGTACCCTTGCATGCTTTGGATTTTTCTAGGACACAAAACAAAGAATCTATTTCTTGTGGCCTAATATCTTTACACTCCAATGAGTTGGCTATAACAAAACACAAACCGGATCATTGTATTGCCAATATTGCTCGGGGAGGCATAGGGGTTGAAAACAAAGTAAGTACTTTCCTGCTAAAACGTTAAATTAAAGTTTCATAATTAATTGTTTAACATTTAGAATTAAGAAATATATATAAAATATAAACTTTTTTATAGCTATAGGTATTTTATTCCTCTCGACTTCTGAAAGGTTGATATATGGTGAAAGGGTTGGGTTGGTTTCAAAATCAGACTTTATGATGAAAATATCATTTTGGAATAACTTATTTCGGAACAAGTTTGTGTTATGTGTACCCTACGCGTAGCGTCTAGTTATGAACTACTTCTTAAGGAAGCGAAGACGAATGGATTCAAAGGGTTGGTTATGTGATCTCCATTTTCTGTATTAAATAATATGGCTTCTTCAGACGAATCCATTTGATCAGTCTATTTTGAGGATAGCTGGACCAGGTTAATTCAAGTTTATTGAAAACGTCTTCCTGACGCTACATAGATCGAAATTGTACTTTGCACACTCGACCCTTGCAAAAAGTTTCATTAAAATGTTTTCTTTAAGGGACTTCGCAGACAATATTTGATAATGTGTGAAAATAATTTAAGCACAATCATGACGCATTGCAGCTAATTCGTTCCATTTGGGCATCATATTATCCCGGGCTAAATTCCTTATTATTCCTTGTAATCTTCTTAAGGTAACTTATAACTAAATCAAAAAATCCAAGATGGCCGAAACCAGGAAGCACATGGCATTTGAGTATAATCTGACCATCAAAATTAACTGTCTTTTGGTTTGATTTTCTCTCAATTTTTTAGTTCCACTTATCATTTATATAACCAGGCTCACGGTGGTAACGCAAATAGAAAAAGTAAACATTTTGGAATGGGAATTTGAGTCCTCTGAAAATGTGACAGAAAAATTGACAAAAAGAGTAGCACGGCAAAGGTCCCTGAACATTTTTTTTTCTAATTTCTCTGAAACATCCCTTTAATATAGCCCAAAATGGAAGGAGCTTTAGAATTTTGAAATCTCTCATACAAATTAAAAAAAATAGAAAAAACAATTCGAGAAGTGTACTTTTTTCCTTATTTTGATCCCAATTTTTTTATCGGGTAATTTTTCAAATTTCCGTTGCTCCTTCGTTTTTGATATATGTTTGAAGTATATTTTCTGAAATGTTCAAATATTTTGAATCAGCGGTTTTTCACTGGCTACTACTAGAAAAAAATCTTCTCAAATTCTTTAAACGGCACTTTTTTCTCAAACTAAAGTTTTTTGTTGTTCTGTGATGTCTTTGTAATGATTACAGTGTACAAGCTTATGTGAAATAATAAAAACGACTTCTCAGGAAGAGTTTGAAAATTTCAAGATTGTGAAATTTTCAATTTTTTCTGAAAATCGATTAAGTTAACAGTCACCTTAATAATACACACAGAGAAAGCTAATGGCTCATTTTTAAATGTTAACGCTTCGTTGCAAGGAAAAACTGACTAAACCGGTTAACGATGAAGTAAGTAGGTACCCTGTGGTGAATCATAAGGAAACAATGTCATGGTATGTATTTGCTCGATGGGAAAATATAATTTTATTAATTTTGTTGTATCCATGTCGATTGTCGAGTTTATTGCAAAGAACAGGATGTACCAAATAATAAAACCAAGTGAGAGGGTAATGTCTCATAAGGAATAGACTAAATGCAAAATATAGTACTAAAGTGTAAGGTTTCGGATATCTTCAGCCGTTTTCAGTTGCAGTTCAGAAATCGTAACATGCTTCGATCCCATGTTTAACAACAATTTTAGACTAGCGACATCTATCTTTTAAACATATAGATGAATCAAATTTTACTTCCGTTAAAAATGCGCACGCAACCAACAGTACAAGAAAACAACTGAACAATTAAGTGATCGCACTAAGAGATCGCACCAAGAGATCATGAGTTCGTGAAGGATGGATAACTTTATGGAATTAAATATTATAACATCTTGCAGTGGTTCTGCCGAATACGTATATTAATATATGAACTAAGATGTGACACAGTCGCATATTTAAAAAAAATACTGCACACTACAATATTATATCCGGTAAGACTTGCTACTTTTATTAGCGCATCGGTACGTTAATGTGCGTGATTAATCAGGAGGATTTTACATCGATTTTATAATGTCAATCAATGAATCCGAAAAAACGTGTATATGAGTTATAAATATTGTATGTTTTATCAGGCAAACCTTACATTGCTAGCGCCTAATGACTCAAAATACCCATGTCTGTTTAGCTTCTTGTCGATCTATTCATGTGTTGACTATCTATTCACGTGTTGACTTCATCAGGGCGAAAAGTGACATCCTTCTACTTTGCCTTTTAAACATTTTAACAAGTAAGTATATCATAAGTATTTTTTATTTTTTATATATTTTTTTACCGCAGGTCATTGTCATTATCGACGGAATCGCAGAAAACAGAACATAAGATGAAGATAATTATCAGTCTGACAATCGCAGTTCTGGCTATAAGCACCTGTCAAGGACTTGATGAACTCGGAAGACAAAGAGGTCAAGCATATAATGCATTATTTGGATGTGAGTAATACAGTTTTGTTCTCTGTTTGAACAAGGGTTTGTTTATTACCCGGGCCAAAGTGTATATGTACCGAACGAAACGACTTTAGTCTACATATGAGGAAGTGAAAGGATTGAATCAAGGGCTTATTTAATTCCCGGACTTTGTATTTGTACCGAACGAAACGACACATATGGGGCTTTGCATTCCTCATGGCTATCATACAGTATGGAATCACTCCACAGATGTCGTTTTTGAAATGGTAGTAGACAAAAATCGATGTTTAAAATCAGGATAGTGGTTGATGGAAATCAAGTTTTATCAGTGTGTTCACCAGTCTGTTCATCTCGTGTGTATATAATTTCATAAAAAGTATGACCAAATTATTGGTTCACTACAGTTATTTGACTTTTTGTGACGGTGGTCTTGAGTTTGAAATCTGTTGAAAAGTGTTGAAAATATGAATAGATGGCGGAAAAAGCGGTCAGATCTTTTGATTTTCGAGGCTCTTTTTCTCAGACATTTTGAGTTCCAAGGGGGGCATATTGAGCTATAACGTGGTATATGTGGAAACGTCACTGAAATCTCAGTTTTTTCATAATTGATCCGAAGATGTTAATGTTTTTCAGTTGAATTGTATTGGGCCATTTAAGTTATCCCTAAACGGTAAAAAACTAAACGCAATACGTTCGCCCTTGACTAAATCATGAACAGTTACAAGTGCAAAAACGCTAAAGAATGTTGTTTTTGAACACTACCCTGCTTAGAATACGCTAGTGAACGTTTTTGTAAGTAAATGAAAAATAGTTTAATCCTTTTTTGACTTCCCTGCCTGCTGATTGCATAAAATTACTATTTAACATAATTAATTAAGATTCGTCTGCAGTATGGAAAGTGATTTAGACGGTTGTATCTTTCACCATGAGCACATTCTGGGCATAAATACAGTGTATTTTATTAAAACAATGTTTTCTTTCAAGTGAAGTAACCATGATGATAAAAATAGCAGTCGAACAATTCGAAAAATTATGAATAGGGCCCCCGTGTCCACATTTTTTCAAACTATTGAACCTATTTCCTCAAAAGAGGATCTCCCTTTTCTGATTTTTATTACATGAAAGAATATTCAACAAGCCGTCTAAAACATCATAAAAAATATAATGGTATTGAAAGTCTAGTTTTGAAGATATCAATTTTCAGATGACCAAAATGATGCTGAAAACAATGGATAGCACGAGTTTTCCCTATGGGAAAATAATATGGGATATGTGGCTTTTAATTTAAACGCATTTCGATACGCATTCCATTTTTCAGAAATTGATCATGTAGTGTAGAAGAAACTATTGATATGTTAAAATTCAGAAAAGCAAGATCCTCTTTTTAGAAAATGTGCCTAACATTTTTAAAAAAAGTGCCAGGGTGAGGCCCTAATCCATAATTTTTATATAATGGGGACTTCACTTGAAAGAAAACATATTATTTTAATGAAAACCATTGTTTTTATAGCCAGAGAGTACTCATGGTGAAAGATATGACTGTCTAAAATCACTTGCCATACTGCACATGGACCTTTATTTATATATCAAAATGCATGATCACAATTACATTACGTAATGTTACATAAATTACGTCAATTAATAGTTTATCTCGAAAATTCGTTTGTTCTTTTCATAAATTACTAGTACTTTTAAAACACGTTATACAAGAGGTTATTTTCTATAATTTGTTATTTTTGCTAAAGCGACCGTGTGCAGTGATGCAAGGGAGGCTACAGCTATGTATAAGCAAGAACTTCGCAGGATTCATGACAACAAAGAGGAGTTTTGCGAACATGTCGAGGTGAGTAACAGATACCTTTTGACGTATTTGTCTATGGTATAAAATCTTTTAGTCTAGGACGTCTAATAAAGGGGTTGGTAGCACACGGTAGCGAAGCGATATTTGATATAATATTAAGATGCCTACATACTGCATGTTCCCTTATCATTATTATTATAACTGCTTAAAAGACTTCCGGCTTGATGCTGAACTATGCTTGATGCTGGACGATGCTGATGCCTGTCATAAGCAGAGGTCAAAAAATTCCCAAGAACTAGAATCCCATTTTTCACATTTTGGAGAACACAATGCAACAGAAATTAGTACATAATGATTTGAAATATATTATTTAAGTTTCTTTTTCAGAACCGAAAATGTAATTATTTAAGCAGTGTAATGCAACAAATGAATCAGTTTTACGTAGAATAACAAATTCTTGAATTAACCCCTTGATTGATTGACCCTTTGCGACTATATGGATAATTTCTGCTAATAAAATGTTTTAAATGGTAAGAAAACCAATGTGTTTGCAATCATAAATTACCTAAATGTTCCATACAATTTTGTTGAATCGGCTTGGCTCATATTTGAAAATCAAACGAAATCTGAAAAGCATACTTGTGAAATCACACTTGTATCTTAGAAGGGTATCAATAAAAAATACTAGATGAATTATCATATTTTGCCATGCACTGCGCCTATTCATCTTCAGTTCAGTTGTAAATTTTCTCTTGAAAAAAATGAATGTTCCAAAGAACGAGTGTCTTTAAGATCCTATATTAGCCCCCAAGATAGACGAAATTGTTCAGGATATCAAAGAAGGGACTTTGTTAGATAACCAGAAACAAAAAGTCATTTACCAGGTCGTTCAATAAGTTCATGCAAAAACATTCTCATTTTTTTATTTTTCAATGTTTTTCCTTGAAACTTTCACAAATCATAGAAAAAATACATACTCATTGAAAAACAAAAAATAAATTACTTTGTTCTGATTGGTCAAAAGCTATGGTTGCTATGGTATCCCATGTTTTGGTCACGCGGGGCAATTTATGACGTGAAAAAAAGTTAATTCTAAGTGAATTCTTGTGATTCATTAGTTGCACATTAGGTACACTCTATTGAATTGTCTTTTCAAATTGAAGTTCCTATCAATCATGTCACTCCATTAAATCCATAGTTCCTTGCGCTTCACCCATTCTTCGTATTTAGCCCTAAAGCCACAGGGGAATTAAGTGCGCTACCCTATAAAGCGAGCTCTACAAAAGAAATGGTCTGAAATTACGCCTTTCTCCAAGCTATTTCACCAAGACAATGCCCAATGTCATCAAGCAAATATGGTTCAGGATACCATCCGAGATACCCTACAGGTGGAGATTTTAGACCAGGCTGCATACTACCCTGATGAGGCTGTATTGGACTTTGGGGTGCTCAATAGGATGAAAGATGAACTGAGAGGTGTTCGTTATGCAAGCATGACAGAGCTCACTGCAGCTGTGAAGAGTGCAATGCGCACTAAATTCCCTTGTGGCTTTAAGGCTCAATATGAAGGATTGGTGAAGCGCCAGGAACTATGCATCCAGTATAAAGGAGGATATTTTGAGCATTTAATGAAGTGTCATAATTGTTAGGAACTTCAATTTAAAAATACAATGTTTTATAGAGTGTACCTAATGTGCAACTAATAAATCACAAGAATTCAATTAAAGTTGAACTTTTTTTACGTCATAAATTGCCCCGCGTGACCAAACACGGGTTACCATGGCAACCATAACTTTTGACCAATCAGAACAAAGTAATTTATTTTTTGTTTTTCAATGAGTATGTATTTTTTCTATGATTTGTGAAAGTTTCAACGAAAAACATTAAAAAATAAAAAAATTAGAATGTTTTTGCATGAACTTATTGAACGACCTGGTATATGACCTTTTGAAGGAAAAATCACTATTTTAACATCATTATTGTCACTGTTTCTATTTATTATTAAAACAATCATTATTTACAGTCAATCTAGATCCTTTTCAATTGATCCTTTTGGCATTATCTTACATAATAGAGACAAAGCATAATGGGCAACATCTGAAAACACATACAAGTCAAAAATACAAAAATACTGAATAAACTAATTGAGATCAACTGTCTACAAAAATATGTCAAAAAAAAATATTGAGTTTTTTAATTTTTTAATTTAATTTGGTTTGGTTTTGTTTACCAAAAATTTAAAAAAACAACATTTCGTGTTCATGTCTTGCACTGCAGTTCACATTACTGGGTTTTTACTCCTGACAATCTTTGGTTGAGCCATGTACATGTTTCACGTATCCACTAGATATATTTTGCTGATGACAAACACCTTTCCATACATGATTGTAACACATGATCAAGACCACTGTTTGGCATATCCTGCAAGGCCAACTGAACTGAGCAGTGCACATGTTTGACTATTTATGCGCTGCTTCAATTCACCAGATAGGTGAAGATCAGATGGTGCTCAATCAGATAAGTAGAGAGCACCAAGGAGAGCACCAAAAAGAGCCTCCATAGAAAGCTACTCTAGTGTGTCAATGACCGTTTTAATTTGGATTAACGATTATCCAAGTGGATAATTGCCTGCGTTAAATGCCTTCCTGGCAATACCCGGTTGTTGCTACATGATAATTATGTCAAACAGTGGTTTTGATCGTGTGTTCAAATTGTCTTTTGAAAGGTGCCAATTAATTCTCCAGTATGGAACAGCGTGGGGAGAAGTGAAACCACCATGTTCACTGCTCCTCTGGGAATAAGAGGAATAAAATAACAATACTACTGTAGTTGTGTGAACAGCAGTGTTCAAAATGGCCATTGACTTCAATGCTAGGAACTTGTAATGCACTTAAAGGTTGTATATGACTATCAAAGTGTTTTTGACACATTTTCAAAGCCTTAATTCAGCATGTTGCCCTGTATGTATAATAGTTTCCAATACGTATTCACTTAGCATTGATATTCATCTTTCATTCCATATGACGAAAATGTAAAGGATAGGTATCGATATGGAGAACTGAATTCAACAATGTTTTTCTCTTAAACCAATCACTGAAAACATTCTGTAAAAAAACATGGTATTTTATGTAATGTTGACTGATTGACAACAATTTAATGCGAAAATTATTTAGAGAAATTTTATATAACTGTTTTTGTTAACATTTTTTGTTTGTTTAGTGCAATTGTTTTTGCTCCTTTCTACCAATTCTTGAGAATGAAATGAAATATCTTTCCGAACCTTATTGGAACAAAATAGCATATACGACATGTTTTTAGACCTCTCAATATTAAAGTTATGCAAAGGAATTTTTGGTTGATTTTAAAAAGTATTCAAAAAATTAAAACAAAATCCCCCCAAAATAGATAAAAATCAAGAAAAACCTTTTATTTCATTAACAAGATACTTTTTTAAAATCAACCAAAAGGACGAGTGTCTTTAAGACCCTATATTAGCCCCCAAGATATTTAGAAGAAATTGTACAGGATATCAAAGAAGGGACTTTGTTTGATAACCGGATCCAAAAATTAGGTCATTCTGACCTTTATATTTCAAAATATAGGTCATTTTATTTTTGTATAAAATGACCTTTTGAAGGAAAAAATCACTCTCTTCACATTATTATTCTCGCTGCTTATATTTATTATCAAAATAATTATTATTTACAGTCATTCAAGACTTTTTAATTGATCCTATTGATATTATCTTACATAATAGTGACAAGGCATAATGGGCAACATTTGAAAACACATAAAATATAACAAGTCAAAAATGCAAAATAATATTGAATAGTATCTTCTGTATACACTTTATTGAGATCAACTGGCTACAAAAATGTGTCAGAAAAGAATATTTAGATTTTTAATTTACATCACAATGAGAAAGAACAAGGGGCAACATTAAAATACACGTGAAGCAATTAACAAGTCTAAAATGCATATCAATCAATTAAATATTGATCTGATTGAGATCAATTGTTCATATTCAGTATATTTTAAAGTGGCAGTAAATCATTGAATATATTATTTTGCATCACAGTGAGGAAGCACAAAGGGCAAAATTTGAAAAGACATGAAATATAACAATTTCTAAAAGGTTACGCTGGACTTTACATAACTGTTGTACTTCTGTAGATGAGCACATTCATGTGTTTGTTCATTATAATAAGAGACTCTATGAGCTATCATCATCTTCTTCAGATGACATCTGTTCATCTCTTTTTGCTTTTATACCCCTTGTGCCTACAGCCCTACTCCCAACTGGAACAACATGAACAACATCAATACTATTACATACATCTGGATCTGGGTTGTACTCCACCCATGTATAGTTGGATTTAGAGGACACAAACCTATTACTGGGTTTTTACAAATAAGGCCATATATATGTTTCCCATCTACTTGAAGGTGGTCATTTGTGGAACGTTTAGATTGATTGGCTTGATATTCACTAAATGTGAGTTGACATACATCGTCTTCAGTCAAAATGGGGAAGTCCTCAAAAGAGTCCACTATCACAGGCTGGTATCGAAAGATTTGTTCGCTGTGACGGAGCATGCTATTTTTCATAAAAACACTAAGAATGCTTCACGATTTATTTTTTAACTCATATGTTTCGTTATATCAAAGATAATTACTTATTCCATGCAATGGATATATCATTTGCGTGTAACCTTCACTTCTGCTTGAAGTTCAATAACGCTAGGAGTAAAATCTATTGAAAACGTGAAAGTTACCCGCAGAAGTGAAAGTTACCCGCAAATGATATATCCATTGCATGGAGTAAGTAATTTTGTATGGTATAACGAAACATATGAGTTAAAAAATAAATCGTGAAGTATTCTTAATGTTTTTATGAAAAATAGCGTGCTCCGTCACAGCGGACAAATATTTCGATACCAGCCTGTGACTATGACTTAGATGTAACCCTTTGTCTCCATATAGGGGGTACTGAGTGATTGCAGTTCATTCATACAATTCCCTTTGCTCTGGGAATTTTATGAGCAAATGTCATTTTCCCGTGAACTGATGTTGACTAATAGTATGTTTCTTCTGCACAATAAAGTTGAGCTGGATTTCTAAATATGAACATTGGTTTGATCAGTCAGTGAACTATGATAATATAAAGAAATTATTCATTGACAAAAATGACGCCTATCACATGAAGACTAAATGATTGTACAACAACCATCTCAATTTTGCATGTACATTTATATGAATGTATAGAAAGGAATTACATGTTATTATGTTGTTTAGAGCCATGGTAAAATATATGCTTCTCTTGAGGTCATGCTTCAGTGCAAGCATAAATATTTGTTCATGAAATGATAATATTAAATAAGAAAATATGCTTGAATATATAGAACACAATTGTCGCAATCATTCTAAGGATTTTCAAAATGGCTGACATCATTTTATTCATGCTGAAAATTGCATGAAAGTTCCATTTTTGCATGACGCCTGGTCCTTACCTAGATTTTCATATATCTCAAGAAGTACCTTAGAAGTACACTAATCCATCAATGCATATAGCTTTCTAGGTAAGAACCAGGCGTTATATGAACAAAGGAAGAGTTTATCATGACCTTCCTCTCTCTAAAAATAAGTAGGTCAACACAATTGCAAACATAACTAATCCCCCCTCAATGACTATTGTAAAATGACTATTTATGTGTACAAAATATTAATCCAATGAGTGTATAGAGTGACACAATCAAACAATGGGACATCTGCCAAGTTGGGTTTATATATTTTGAAACGTTTTCTGAGACTGATAAAAAATTCACATTTTCACAGGAAGTGATACATACCTCCCAAATCAACCAAAATATACTTATATCAGTAATCCTGAATGTTCTTTATTGCTATTTCTTTCTATCTTCAATTTGGTCCTACATATCAAGGATATTAACGACATTGCATTTTTCAAAAAATGTTAAGTGACCCCAGGGGTGTCTATAGCCATTCGTTCTTTCCTTTGTACAATTACAATATTGAGAGACCTAAACATGTTGTGTTTGATGCCTGGTTTGATGCAAATGTTTGATGCCTGGTTTAAGAGAAACGGGTGTTCAAAAAGTTCGCCATATCGATACCCATTCTTTATAAAATATTGACGGAGTGGGAGCTGTTAGAATGACCCCTAGTTTTAGCAATTTTCAGAACGTTTCGTCCAGTGTATTTAATGAGGGCCTACTTTCAATCAAATACAATAGCATTGCCGTTTTTAGGCCTATTACATGTACTTGAAGGCATAATGCATTTAATCATATATTAAGAATAATATGACGAATTGATTGCATTATACGCCTTTTCCCCTGGTTATGGTTCATTTGTTTACAAACATAAAATGATTTCAGAGGAATCCACTAAGACTTGGGAGATTTCTCCAAATGTATCGTCGTTACGAAAATGACTTCATATTACATTGGATTTCCACAAAAACGGGCTGGGAGTATTTTGTCATCAATACACTTTCTCTTTCGTTATTGGAGCACTTTGACATTCAATTGAAAATTGAAAGTGCGTTTATTAGATTTAGGTAATTGGAATTGTGAAAATGTGCATGAAGATTTCAAATTTAAAAAATAAATTGTGCTTTATTGCTATTTCTAAGTTAAAAATTTCCGCGTGATTTACTATATCAATAACATTTTTATTAGCTTTCTGATGATCACCATAAATTATCTTGAAACAAACAAAATGTATGAGCATCGCATAATGTAAGCTAAGCAGTGATTGGTTCACAATAACGGTGTAAAGTTGAAATCGGATTGGTCAGTAAAATGATAATTTTACCTTGCAAACACCGCTCCTAATATTACTTCTGAACGCATATAATTTACGCATTCACGAGCGTAATTCATACCGGCGTTAAGAAAAACATAATGGAAGACGCGTAATTCTCATACGAAGGAGGGTCTTACTTCTAAACACGCCTAGATTCAATGTGTAAATTCGCCAACCTAATTAAAACACTTAGTAGGTTAGGACGTCCAATAGAAATGATCAAAATTAATTAAAATCAGGGAAAGGGTGTCCTCATTTGGTCCAGTTTACACATTAACCCATGCCACAATGAAATAAAATTAAAATGGGAATTTCAATGATTTTCCTAAAAATAATGTAAACATCTTGGAGTGTATGGTAAAATAAGTTGTAAGATCGATCTTTTTGTTCGGATATGCAGGGTTTGCTTTTCTTATGACTGGTATACACTAAGAGTTTTCTTATTCGTGTTAGGTCCCATAACAGTTTTTGGTCCTTTCCATTTGCACTTTGTGCTGCCAAGGCTGCTTTTCTAGATACATTTAAATTTATTGGAGAGACAAATCAACGGAATCTTTCATTTAAAAGACGAGGCCTTAATCAGTGATAACTTCTAATCACACACACTTTTACCCAAATTCTGTGATTCTGTACGGTTTTGTATTTATAGGGCCGTGATGAATGCAGTGTTGGAGATGATATTCGTGAACTACATAACGATTTCAAGGAACTACTCGGAAAAATCAAGGCACTTCTAGAACTAAACAACCTTGGGTAAACTCTTGAAGCACAAAAACCCACCACCCCTACCCTGTCACCTCTAGAAGAAAGGCGAGTTGTTAGCCAAATCGACGACTTAAAGACCCAACATAATCTTCTGGACGATCAAGGAACTGCCGTGTAAAATTAAACATTGAAAAAATAAATAAATAAAATGAATCAAAATAACATATAGCGTGATAAACAAAAATACAATATTATGCATATAAAAACCAATACAAACGAAATAATAAATTGACAAGTGGACCTCCTAAACCGTAATGTATTTACATAACACTAAATGATAGAGGGAGGAGGAGATTACCCCCACCCCTGGTGTTTCCAAAGTTGAAGAATAACAGTAAAAACTATGGTACCATATCATACGTTTTTCAGTTGTATTTAAGTTGCCATAAAATCTTTGAAATTTTAGAAAATTGTCTGAAACAAAAATGGTGGTCATAAAAAGGAAAATAGATCGTTTTTCAAATCAGTTTTTTTCTTTGTCTATGAATGATATCAAATTTTCAAAGATTGTATCATTTAGGACAATATATTGAGCACATTTTCTGAAAAAATCAAAAGATTCGGATCAGTGACCTTTCCTACCTCCTACTTTTAGCTATTTTTCCTTCAAATTTTCAGAGGGCTAAAAAGGTTATTTCATCATGTTTAGGGTCATTCTGACCATGAACATCGTGATTCTGGACCTGTAAATGGTATGTGGAACTAGTCGAATTGACTGGAGGTCAACAAAGAACTCTGTTATCTTTGTTCAAAAAATGTCTAAAATTCAAAATTTTTGTCACTTCCTGTTTTGTCATTTCCTGTTAAGTATCATGTCAACTTAAATCTAAAAAAACTAGGTCAAATGATGTCAAAATACCAAAAGATCATATAACACTTAGTTGTAATAACCAGTAGCAGGTAGACCGGATTGAGAAAGTTCTTCCTGATTAGACGATTTAAAAGGGTAGGAGGTCTACTCGAGTGTATGTTATCAATTGATGTCGAGTCAGTCCATTAAGGTCGGGGCCAGTAAGGGCCTTACAAAGGGGAACCATAATCCCTGGGGGACCATAATTTCTTTCTTAGGTTTTGTTATTGCCGTTGTATACTGGCTAATATAATGTGCTTGGTGAATCTCTACAATGATGTACGTGTAGATAAATTCACCCAAAACACTATATCAGATTTGAGTGAAGTCATTCAAGTGAATTAACACTAATCTATAAATAGTCGAGCTACATCCAATGCGTAGCTGATTATTGTTATTGTATAATCGTTACAGTCTAGTACATGTGCTCTGTTTTCTTCTATAAATCCATCACATAATATGTGTATTTCCTTCAACAAATATCTTTAGAACCACAAAAATATTCCAATAGTTCACATTTGTTTATCATGCCTATCTATTCATGGATCTAGATGTGTCCATATTTGTATCCGAAAATCCTATAAATGCTAATACTTCTGAAATAATAATAGGTTTAAAATAATGAGCTTAGTTGCGCTGTACTTAGGTAAATGTCGTTACACTTTAATGAGTTGGGTGGGAACAAACAACCTCATTTTGCCAGTATCGTTGGAGGAGAGTTTGGGACAAAAACAAAGTAAGTTAAATTCACTATTTAAACAAGAAATTAAAATGCTGTTCAAAACTTTCAAACTATTTTATTCAAACAAAATGTTTATGTTTAGTCAAACGCTTGCAACACCAATGGCCTTTACTAATTACAACTTGTTGTATGCTTATAAAATTGAAAAATGCGTGGGCGGGTGGGTCAAATATTTTTGCAAACTTGCGCTCTTCAACAATTCCAAAATAACAGCGCCATCTATCTTACTCACTTAAATCAAATAACTTCATTATTTATCAATTAGTTCGTTAATCACTCTCAATAATGTTAGAACACAGTTCGGGGTTGAACAACCATTATTTATTAGGTTGCTATAGTAACATGCTTACAACACAAGTGGCTAAACAATCCCACATAATTAACTACAGAAAACAAGTTTATTCAACTATACGTCACTACAGATCTCAATTTGTCACACTACGTAGCTCCAGCTCCATCACCTAAGACCCATCTGGCAATTGAACACCTATAGTCCAATGGTATGTCTACATAACGCTCCCGGGCCCTTGATCTCCATTCTCCCCGACATTTAATGAGGAGTTCAGGTGTACCTAATGCAAATGCAGTACAGGCTCCCCCAGGTCCAAATGAATGACCCAAATAGTCATTCGGCTCAACATCACACTTAACTAGCACTTGATGTAACATGTGTATAAGCACTTTGTGAGTTATAACTTTTAACTGACCCTTGTCCATGTATGTAGCAAAGGGCGAGCTTGACAAGGACAGGGCCGAGTCGCCCCTTCTCTCTAGCATGTCGAGGAAGGCCTTTTTAGGGCATAGAATGTTTGCTGTTACACTCAGAGGAATTTTTTGTACACGGTTCCTGAATTGTAAAGTTTTAGTATTTTTGATAGTCATTATCAGACCCGCATTAACACATTTAAAGTCACTGGAGCAAATGTCTGACTCAGGATCCAACTCTCCGGCCGGTTTCACCAGATGATTGGACTTCCTGCAGAAGCTGAAGAAGGCATTTATATACAAAATCAAAAATGTCGCTTCAAAAGAGCTCTCAACATGTATCTTAGAATGAATATTTAAGCCGCACGGGAGTAACGGACAATTTCCTTTTAACGGGAGTGTTCTTTGCTCTAGACAGGCCTCTCAATAGCATATTTTATCCAAAATTTCCCTCTAAAGGGTTAACTAGGCCCACTTTCAGATGTAGTAAACGTATAATATTTATGTATTGACAGACACTACAAGGTTCTGCTTAGAAATACTGTATACAGTATCAGAGTCCCTAAGGCGCAAAGATAGGGGGAATATTTGAAGACGACGCAGAAACGAAGGAATGCTTTCAAATGAAACATGTAAATCGTTTTTGTATTCTCTGCATACGCTAGCTTCCTAATACTTGTCCAATTCTTATTTCAACATTGACCTCCGGCATGCCAAGCCTGCAAAACATATTCAAAAGCTTTAAACGACATATGCTTAAGAATATTTAAAGCACTAGCAGAAATGTCATATCCAGTGAAACACTTTATATAGTGTTCGGGCTGTTGCAGCCATATTTAAATCCGTTAACTATTTATATATAAATATACAGATAATACCAACAAAAAATTCCAAAAAGCAAGCCCAATGTCCTTTGTCAGAACCCCTATTCTAACTTTTGAAAATGGATTTTAGCAAGGGTATATTGACTTAACATGGGGACATACACCATTGACTATTGACTTAGCATTGAGATACCATTAGCGCAGTTATGTCACCATTGTAAAGTCAATGCACCTTGTTGAGATCCTCATTGTCTCAGAAGAACTCAAGTTGATCAAATCTAAACAAGAAGATTCCTGTTTAACACGGTATTGCCAGAATCCATTTTCGAAAGTTAAAATAGAGGTTATTAAACAGGACATGAAGGCTTAACTCTAAATTTAGTGTTTAGTACTAACACTATATAGATCCGCAGTGACATTATATAGATGGTTGGACTAAATTAAACTTTTTAAATAAAATAGTGTAACCGTATTTAACTTTCAAATGTTTCCTATACTACTTTGAATTGTCCATCAGATGGTCAAATTTCAAGACTTTTTGAGACAGTCTGGTATATCCAAACTTAAAATATATTTTAAAACTTCTAATATTTATAGTGCATGAGGGTTGTTTAACAACAATTTGTTACTAGCAGTATCTATCCTTATGCATAATTATACGGTCACGCAACCAACAATGAAACATCAACCGAACTAGTTGGTGATTCTGACTTGGTGAAGTCTCGGTTGTTTTTACCGTTCATTCAATCAAGTATCATTTAATCAACAATGGTCCTTCTTAATAACTATAGTATGTTACATAGCCGCCTTTTCTAAAACATATAAATGTACAGCCATTGGGATTAGGTTTTATGAAACTTGCTTATTCCATATAGCGCCAATTTAAGGCCCCATTTAAATGGTTTTAAAAAGTGTTTTTCTTAATTCATACAATGATTTGCATCATAGCGTTCGAGTTTGTTTTATTAAAGCCCCACTATGCTTAATTTAGAAGAAAATGATAAAATAGTCAATTTAACATGTAACTCGCCTTCAATCAAATATGATACAAAGCTTTATTCACATTGATATCGAACCAAGCTTCTTGATCTTTCTGTTACACACTACCCTACCTCGATCGCGCATGCGCGAATCTTTTGGCTTTCAAACATGTCGCTTTTGAGTATATCGACTGCTTAGTCAAAAGGTTAATACGTTTGGTGCTCGGAGTGAGTCAATATTGCTATTCGCTACACTTCAGTGGTGCAATAGTGAAGTCCATGTTCCAAGTTATATGATAGTTGAAGAAATAATGTAAATAATACCGTTTTAAATTTTAAAATATTTGATACGTCATAGTACACGGTACACAGCTGCAAAAGTTGATCAATACAGGGTACAAGGAATGTAAATTGTTCAATAGTACAGGGAGCGAGAAAGTAAGCTGATTATACAGACATACTATGTCCCGACCTCATGTACATTTACGTTGCAAACAGTGAAAGTAATGCTAAAAAGGCCGCCCGTTGATGCTTTGAGGTGTCATCAATTGTTATTTAATCCAAATAAAGTAAACATTATTTTGTAGATTTAGACACGGGCTTTCAAGTCGTATGCATTTTAGTCATTAAATTAACAAGAACGCTAGATTATACGTGTTACTAGGGTATCAAATTGAAATAAAATAACGAAATTAAATATCAACACGTTAATGATAAATGACTATCCGCTATCAGTATTAATGACTATTTGCTACTCAGAATAATCAAAATTGCCTGAACTACATATGAAGAATCTTTCTATAGAACCCCTTGAATGGTCTAATTCACTACCGTCCTAAAAACCCGACCATTCAAAATGTTTTGTTCAAATTCAAAAAAATACAGTTGACTAACATACTAGAAAACGTATCCACCTATAACACGATGACACGCAGTTTAAATAACAGTTAACTGGGTTTTTGTTACATATCAATGTAACATTTCGAAGGGAAACTTACATGCTCCCTGTACGTTGATAGATTTACTGAAATGTATCGTGTATTGCATTTGGTTTTGCTTCACTGCGCCCACTATTATCTATCTTTGCCTATAGTGGTTTTTTGCCAACAATATTCTACACACTCCTTGATGAATCAATTATATGTCTGGTAGAACACTAGAAATAAATGTAAAATGTATTTTACGTTCAGAAATATGGAATTAAACCCACGTCCTCCATTTGCAACTAAGCTGTACCCTGTTTCCCTTTTAAACGTGGTCACGTGGTAGGGTAGTGTGTGTTAGTGTTGTCTTTAACAGCCGAATGGTGAAATGCTTCCCTTTCGCGTTTTTCGTTTCATTGCAGGACATTGTTACAATCAACGGAAGCACACGACAGTACTGAAGATGAAGATAATCATCAGCTTGACAATCGCAGTTCTGCTTATAAGCACATGTCAAGGAAATGATGAAGGCGAAAGATTCAGAGGTCAAAGACTTGATCAACTCGGACGTGAGTAATACAGTTTATTTCTCTATGTTAGAATAATACTTATAATGATGTCCTAAGAATATGTCAGTAAACATGACGTGTATGTACTATAAACTATTTTGATCCTTTAATTATTTCTTTGTGTTAATTGCATACTGGTTGCATTACAATTATACAATTAAACATTATCACAATTGCTTCACGTAATGGTACGTAACATTGGAATTGGATGCATCATAAGCAAATATGTCATAAATAATCGAACATAGAATGAAAAATTTGTTTTATTATATCATTGCTAGACATTCATAGAATATTTGTTTTATGTGAACAAATATTTCAGATAATAAATATGTCACAAAATCATGCAATAAGTTTACATAATTACATACAACTATCATTGTATAGTACACTTTTATTTTCCTCTAGTGTAGTAGTCAGAATTCCCGGGCAGGCAATACATCATTTAAAATCCATAAATTGAGGAAGCTGTGCAATACGCTATGGTATTTGTTTATCCCACGGTACTGAGCCAATCAAATCACACGATTTCTGGCAGTGATATAATAATGACAATAATCTCAATTTATATTTCAAGTTCTAAAGATACGTTTTTTCTCTATATATCTTACTAGGTACAGGCTTTTTAGAACACGTGATCCAATGGGCTTATAATCTATTCCTTTAAAAACTTGTTGTGCCAGATTGGGAAATTTGCAAAAGACACCCTATTTTGAATTGCGATCGCAGAAACGCAAATTTCTATGGGGACAGAATAATTATTCTACAATTTGTTATTTTAGCTAAAGCGTCTCAGTGCAGCGAAGCAAAAAAACAAGCAGAAGTTTATCATGAACAACTTCAGGCAATATATCGCAACAAGGCAGGGTTTTGCAGAGATGTCCGGGTGAGTGACAGACACCTTTGACGTATCCATTCTCAGCGTTTTACGAATATATATATATACAACTTACAATTCTTCACTATACGTTCGTCAATGCATTTTTTGGGCAAATGCAGGAGCTGCTAAATTGCTACCAATCAATTGCTACTGCACTTTATCTGAAATGGTATAAATGTTTTAATTGTTGAAACTTTTAGACTGCCTTGGATACTTTTTAAAAGACTTGGTTATATATAGTTGTAGTCTATTAGTTTTATACATAGTTTCGTAGAAGAATTTTTACCGAGTCTAAGATTGAATAAATCTCTGAGTGATGAAGGGATTCGTCTAACAGACAATTTGACAATCATCAAACTCTGCAAGTTTTGTTTCATTTCATTGTTTGTGTCCGAGAAGTTTGATTTACCATAAGCATTTCCATGTTGTATCGAAACAAACCAGAAATGATTCTAAAGATGATGAAATATTTCCATCTGACAGTAAATAAATGTAAAAATCAGAACAGTACTATTGTTAAAAAGGGGTGACGCAACATCATCAAAGTGGTAATCTTAGCCAATTCTATGATTTCCCAACTAAGTTTTGATAATGCGTCTGCAAAATTGAGCATTATATCAATTCAAAGGAATATCAATTGTAACTCAAAACCCCATCAGACATACGCTTAAGGAATTATATAGGAATTCGCTTCATGATTCTTAACACATATTCATAACATCTCAGTTTAGTCAGTAAAATGTTGGTCTGACCATGTGAACAACAGTCTTAATCTAACTTCTTAGTGATTACAATTTGAGTCTTCAACGCGCATGATATCACGCACGTGGTAGGTCACGCCTATACAGGCATAACGCATTTGATTGGACACAGGCGTAAAGAGTCGTAAACAAACGCCAACATTCAACAAGGGGTAGATTCGCCAGCCTTTTCAAGACATTAATAATTAGTAGATGCAATAAAAATGACAAAAACTTGGTAAAACTTGAATATACAGTTGGGAAATGGTGTCCTATTTTGTTCCATTTCACATATTAACCCAAAATGAGATAATATATTGAAGTCAATGATTTTTCAAAAAATGAGTGAAGGCTAAAGGCTCATTGAAGCTATAAATGTACCTTTAATTGAAAAAGCAGCCTTGTTTCTAATTATCAACAACCCAAATTCTGTGATTTTGTTGTACGGTTTTGTATTTATAGGGTCGGAGATATTATGGATATTATGGAGCATACATCTATCGGGGAATGAGGCCTGAACCTTTTGAAGGGGGAGAATGTAGCGTTGTACAAAAACTTCGTGACCTACACCATGAATACAAGGAACTACTATACAATGTGCAGAAACTTCTAAAGAAATTCAACCTCAAAAAACCGCTGCCCCTTCTCCGCCGCCTTCAGAGGAAAGGCGAGTTGTCAGCGAAATGAACGTCAGTTAAAATACCAAACTAAATCCTTCTGGACGATCAAGGAACTGTCGTATAAAATAAAACATTACAAAAAGCAAAAAATAACTAATTAATGTTCAAAAGAACGTTTAACATAACATGGAAAACAAGAATACAATACAAAGAATTTACGCATACAAATTAATTATAAAGTAATACAGTTTTAAGATAAATTGATGAAACCCATTAATAGAATGTTTTGCTAGTTTTTGGATCTACTCGGTTTACTCAAAACATGGATACAAAAGTGTCGATATTTTGTTACCGAAACGGATCCTAGTTTAAACACTATAAACAGTGATGTCTGAAAGCTATAAATGTTTCAAATTCACAGTAACGGAATAGCCTAGCCTGAATATAACTAAACAATGGACACCGCATGGATACCGGGCAATTGCAAAGAAGGTACACGGGCTTCCAAATAGTATCCATTACCCTATAGTTTTAGCACAGCTTATTATTGATCAAATATAGTAAATCAATCTACTATACCTAACCCCTTGAAATGCAGAAGATACTCTATGTGTCCAATAACCCAGATGCGAGTAGAAATAATCTTGATTTACGTCATTAAAAATTCAAAATTCAGTCAAAGTAATATCATATTTGAAATCTACATGTAGAATTACATCTAAAAATGTGGTTTTAAAAAGTGTTTATTAACTTTGAAAAATTAATTTTCTTTGAAAATATGACTTCTAGCTCGGGGAGATTCCCCATAGACCCCATGCAATAAAATCACAAAAAATGAAATATCTTTTCTTTTAGTGGACAGATAATATTTTGCTTTACTGGATATATTTTCATTAGTATAAGTATCAGACACATAAGGATTATATGAAAATTGAGCCACTTAAATTGATAATACTCAAGTTTAAGGGAACTTTCTTATATACCTGCCATGTTAATTGACCCGAATCAGCCACCTGGTGGTGAAACTGGTAACTACCTACTCGCATTTGGGTAATTGTATTGTTTAGTATATTTTTGAAAGTACCTTTCTAACGTCATCCGATAAACCATTAATAAGGATCAGACAAATAAAAACAAATAACATTATCATTACTAATGTGTCAAAAGAGTTGCTCATGAACACCCAATGCAAGGTATAATAGAGTGTAAATTTAGTTAGAGGGTTATATTGTCGTCCGCTAACCTAATATGTCTCCTAGTGATCATTCAATGTTTTCAACTGAATCCAAGATGACCCGGTTCCGTTTACGTAACAATAGTATAACATCGGTGATACTGTTGTTTTCTGAACTATTCTTTGCAATCGTTTAGATTTCCTTGAACATATGATACAGACAAACAATTGTGGAAAAAATCTTGTGGTAATTCTGTGAAAAAAGGAAAAAAGAAAAATTGTACTTTCGAGGTTCAGACGTTTTGTTACGGAAACTGGTTTGAAGAGTGTAGTACAGTGCACTGGGTATTACAGGAAGGCCCAAAGCATCTAGCTAATTGACAACTATGATATCCACATTCTGATTTTTCAGAGCCCCAAATACCTAACGCTTTTGAGAGAACTATTCCAAAAGGATAGTAAAGGCTGTGGATCCCACAATGTGATATCCACGCCACATATCGACAGTTCACATTCCTGTCTTGATTTCCTTTAAACGACTGTCGTCTGATCAAAACAACATTACCAAACGCTCCATGAGTTGGCCAAATATGCAATAAATTGCTGACCTCAACTGATCAGCATACTCAGTAAACCAATTACAAAGTTGTGATTAAGTTACTAATATACACACAAATTCAGGGGGATTTGATAAAAAGAGGGTAACATTGAAACACAAGTTTGCGCTATATAGGGTGTCCAAAAAGTAGATTGCTTTCGCTGCCTCAATAAAATAGCAGTTCAATAAAACTGTTTTCATGAAAATATGATGAAACTCTACTGGTGCTTCAATCTTTATTTTGGCCCTGGCATGCATACATTTTTAAATGTTTTAATGAATATTTATTAGTTGATATAAAATGTATAAACAATGCATTATGGGATGTGGACATCTCATGGATTGAACATGTTAGTGGTTTTTCGGGAATTTTGATGACAAGACTGGATTGGTGTGGGGCCCGCCCGCACGTGTACGTTAGCCCGCACGTGCACGTTAGCCCGCACGCGTACGTTAGCCCGCACGCCTGCACGCCCACTAGCACAAGACTCTGGCAATATAGCACTTTTTCAAAGTGTGATAAAAATGAATAAATCGTGTTATACAAATAACTTCGACATATTTTATCGACATCGGTAAAAACGTGATAGGTAAAACTTAAGATCGAAAATATTTTTTGATAATTTATTGTAAGCTCTGACGTTGCCCGTTTAAGCTGTTCACTGAAAGATAATGCGCTTATCAAGCCATTGAAAAAACCATAAAGTTCAAAAGAAAGTATTTTTATTTTGCCAGAAAATGCTGAGAATACGCATAGAGTCCCTTTAAGGAGTCTTCTGTACTAATGTAACGCATACACGTTACTTTAAGTCGAAGCTAATAGTGTGTAATGTTTGCGACATTTTTTGTATTTTCCAAACATTTTCAACTCATCTACATATGTTTCCCTGTTGCGTTAATATCGTTAAACTCTAGTGGATTGGCTTTAGACCAGCCTGGATAAAAAGGGCCTCGTTGTTTTTTAATGAAATGTATAATAAAATACACACAGGGAAAGCAACTGATGATTTGACCACCCTTTGGCACAAAACTTATTAAATGTTCCGTTGCAAGGAGAAACTGACTGAACCAGTTTGCAGTAAAATAAAACAGTGTCCTGTGGTGAACTGTTAGGGAGAAGTGCCATACAGTGCATTTGCCCAGTGAGAAAATGATTTGTCTTTCAAGGCCTTTCAAAGTTAAGTTAATCTTTAGAGTGGCGTATAACCCTACTATCACACCAAACTAGTTCTCACCACGTTCTCGAAAACGGGCTTCAACTGTGTACGAACGGACTGGACCTACTGAGAACCGTTTGGGATCTATTTACAAACTTCATCGAACGTACTCGAACGGGTAGGTCCTCTAGAACTAAGACAATGCTCAAAATGTTCTCGTGGTCGTCACGTTCTACAATTAGAACGAGTGACAACGTACTAACGACGAGCTGGACGTACTACGAACGGAACCGTCGTACTTCAATCCTACTAGGGACATTTTAACAACGAGATGAACTGTCTGAGGACGTGTTGAGAACGAGGTAGAACTAATTGCAAACGGGTTTAAACTGATTAAGAACGTATTTAACACTGCTTATGAACGAGTTAGCAAAAATATAGCTATCACACCAAACAAGTTGCCACTGCGTTCTTCAAAACGGGTTTTAAACTGTGTTCTTAAACATTGAGGACTGTTTAAGAACGAAGTAGCTAATTATTTTAGACATATTTCCCGACCACAGCCAGATTGAGCCCGTTTTACGACGTTTTCGTAGGACTGGCAAGAACGGGTAACTAGTATAGTTTAGTGTGATAGGTGGGTAAGGTGAAGATTCTTCACCTTATCTTCACTGAAAAAGGTTGACTCGTAACAATGACTAAAGGTGTATACTTTTTAAATAATCTATCATGTTCAATGCAAATTCAATGTTCAAGTGAATCTTCTATAAAATTGGCACAGAGAAAGCAACTTATAATAAACCCTCTAAACCCTCCGTTGCAAGGATAAAATGGATGAATCGGTTTAAAGTGAACTGAGACAGTGTCATGTAGAGAACTATTAAGGAACTATGTCAAACTATGCATTTGCTCGATGAAGAAAAGGTACCTTATGAATTTGCTTATATTCAGTCCAATGCAAAGTACAGGATGTCCCCAAAATATTATAACCAAATTAGATGGGAATATCTCCATTTTTCTTTCATCGAAAATGAAGAACTTTTTTATGTAATAAGGAACAGATTGAAATACTGATGGGGGCACTTTTTCTCAAAATCAAATCGTTGAACCTGATGAAACTTTCAAATATTTGTGATATTTAAACTGTCTCTCAGATTATCAAATTTCACAAATTTTTGGAGCATCCTGTATTTGCAAACTTTAAATATTTATAGCACATAAAGGTTGATTCTTTGACATTCTTACAATATTTGGCAACAAGTCTACACTAGCGAGATCTATCCATGAAATATATCGATCAATCAAATAATGCATGGTTTAAAAATTATGTTGTTTTTTAAACGCTCAACCATTTGCAGTCTTAGCATACTACATGTGTATGCATGCTTTTTTTACACTCCCCTCCATAAGCTTTGCAACCTTTGCTCCCCCATTGAACTACGTGTTAACGTCTCTTTACCTTTGAATTTTTATTTACTTAATCTGTGATGAAAATACTTATACTGTTGATGGAAACGTAATTTGAATTTATTTCCAAAACCTCCAAATTTTCTCAATTTTTTCCTTAATTACAATAGGTCGAAAATTGATGATAAATTTGATAAATTTTTAAAAATCGACATTTCCATGTTAACCAAAGGAAATGGTTTGCCGCAAGTCATATGACAGAAGATCCATCCATCCGAGTCCCTGAAAAAATTGGGTAGCAATTGAATTTGCTACGTTTATTTAACAAAAATTGATACGTTTCTTCAGGTTTAACAAAGTTATAGGTCTTTAAAGTCAATTTTCTTTTCAAAAAACCTCTCCCATTGAAATAACACAGGGGACGAAAAATTATTTTCAAAAATGACTTTGAAGCTCTGTAACTTTAGTATTCATCAAGTAACCTAAACACTTAGCGTACAATATAGTTAGACAATTCAATTTTCTATATAAAAAATAAATAAATATTTTTTGATAAATATTTTACTGAATAGATATCCCGATTTCTGATTTGCCCCGAACCCACCATTTCCCATTGGTTTACATGGGAATGACGATTTTCAAAAATACATCTATATCATCAATTTTAGACCTATGTAATTGAGGAAAAAATTGAGAAAGGTATTGGAAAAAAAATCAAATTACGTTTCCATTAAAAGTAAAAGTATTTCCACCGCAGGTTAAGTGAATAAAAATTCAAAGGTTAAGAGGTTTTTAACACGTAGTTCAATGGGGGAGCAAAGGTTGCCTTTACGGTGTGTCGCGCCGCAGCAACTTGCTGGGCAACGACTAGCCTTGCCAAAGTCAGTACTTTTACTTATATGATTTTATCCAAATTATGACCACCTTGTGCAATCTAATCCCTGTTGCTGACTTAATAAATCGATTATACAAAACTTGAGTTGTCCAGCTGCGTTAATATCGTTACGTTCTGGTGAATTGGCTTTAAACCAGGCTGGATAAAAAGAGCCTCATAGTTTTTCCAGTATCGTAGGAGGGAAGATCGGAAAACAAAGTAAGTTCAATTTACTGTTGAAACATTAATTAAAAATAAAATGTTATTACAATGCATAAGGTGCGGTGGTAGTTAACAGGAAGTGACAAAACAAAAAGTTTCAAAACCATGCTGGATTTTGAAAAAAATTTGAACCAAGATAACAGAGTTCTGTTTTGACCTCAAGTCAATTTAATTAGTTCCACATGTCATTTACATGACCAGGAACATGGAAATGGTCTGAATGACCCTTAACATGTTGAAATAACCTTTTCAACCCTCTGAAAATATGACTGAAAATAGCTAAAAGTAGGCGCTAAGGAAAGGTCACTGAAAGGTCAACGAAATTTGAAATTTCAGAAAATTGTCTGAAACAAAAATTGCGGTCATAAAAAGGAAAATGTATGTTCTTTAATTAAGTTTTTTTTTCATTTTTTTCTGTTTCTATGAATGACATCAAATTTTCAAAATTGTATCATTTAGGACACGATATTGGGCACATTTTCTGAAAAATTCAAAAGATTCTGTTCAATGACCTTTCCTTAGCGCCTACTTTAAGCTATTTTTCAGTCACATTTTCAGAGGGCTGAAAAGATATTTCATCATGTTTAGGGTCATTTTAACCATGTACATTGTGATCCTTGTCATGTAAATGACATGTGGAACTAAGTTAACTGACTGGAGGTCAAAACAGAACTCTTTTATCTTGGTTCAAAAAATATTTTCAATGCAGCATGGTGTTGTAACTTTTTGTTTTGTCACTTCCTGTTAACTACCACCGCACCTTAACATTTAAAATTAAGAAATAATAACTCTTGCCAAGGGTATGCCCATGGCATTAAGCATGACATGCTTTATGTATTCATCAGATATTTTTTAAGTTTAAAACCGTGATCATATGTTTTGCTTCAAATCGTTTAGCTTGCTTCAATTTCGGCAACGTACATTTAGAGTGTAAACCCGTATGTTTTGTCACTGTACGTTGTTTATGGTTTAAGCATGCTTTAGCGCAGAGTATATCCTCAACGATACATGAAACATGACTGAAGGTGTTCAGATTAGAATTAGCGTGTTCGGATGTTCGGATGTGTTCAAATATATAGGTTTCACTTGGAAATTGCAATATCTTAGCGTTTTTGATATGAAGCATTGCATTGTTCTTATATGCCTTTAAAAAGTTAACTAAACCTAATGCTTAGTGAAACATCGTATTTTAGAGTGCAAAATGTAAAGGAGGCTGAACGAACAATGAACAATTTAAGGTATATCATGTATGTAAGATTTAACATTTAATAAAAAGTAAAATTAAATATACACCGGGAAAGCACTCGCTGATCTGACCGCCCTTTGGCACAAAACTTAAAATTTACCGCTCCGTTGCAAGGAGAAACTGGCTGAACCGGTTTGCAGTGAAATGAAACAGTGTCCTGTGGTGAACTGTTAGGGAGCAGTGTCATACTGTGCGTAGCAAACCTCCATTGCATTTCAATATCTGCTCTTTATGTTCACCAAGCTCTATGTACTATTTAAGTGTAGTATTTAACTGAGCACGACCCATCATTGGTAGCATTACTCTCTTTGCTAAAATCGAACAGCAACATACTACATACTACATACTACTACTATATATACTCGTACATGGGGCGATCCATATATTCTGATAAAAATGCTCTCATTTTGCTATTTTTCACATATCGCTGTCATATTTTCAGAAAATGTAGATTATGTAATTACACATACAATGCTCAAATATTATATCTACATCTTAAATTAATTAAGAGATAAGGTTACCATGGTAACCTGTATTAAGGGTAGGCAGGTCAATTAAATTATAACGTATAAAATGTCATAATAACTTGTTATTTTAATTATTTTAAAGCATGCGGAAATCATACATTTTAAAAAAAAAGTTTGGTATTGTTTATCGTTGTTTGTTGCTAAACAAATGTTTATTCGTGATCACCTATAGCATCACATCAACTCACAATAGCAATGTATGACAGGATGGGCAAATTAGAATTACATGTCATGAGACACACCAAATATCAAAATGACTGATCAGATGAGGTTAGTGCGGCTGTTGCAGAGTGTGACATTAATAGATACATGAGGAGTCCCACTAGCTTTTATGTACTATCAAGAAGAGGACACCGCAAGAGACATACAGTGGGGGACAAAAATAAAACTCAACGTTCACAAGTTGTCACAATGAGCTAAATTCCAAGTTTCTTGTTTCAAACTCTCCCAAGCGGTAGAAAAATAATTCCCGTTTACTAAAGTAGCACAATAAATGAATCCAAAGCTTCATACCTGCAAATTATGGATAAATCCCTACCAAATCGAACGAATGATTTCATTAATCGCCATGTTTGTTATCCAAGGACAGTTGACTCCCAGAATGCAACATCAGTTAACTGTATTTACTCGTGACAGGTTTCAAAATGGCGGAACAGCATTTTGAAAGCTGGCACGTGTCATGTTGCATTCTGGGAGTCAATCCTCCGCTCCGGCGCAATCGGGCGACAAAATCACCTCAACATTTGAAGAGTCGGCATAACATGTGAATATTCACTGCAACTTTTTAAGTTCTTATTTGTCATTATGGACACAAATTCCACGATATTGGGACTTACTAAGACGGAGAAAATAGAGCACTGAATACACTGAGGTAAGAATTTATTACACGTGCGACAGCATGTAATTTTCATAGCTTTTGTAATTCTTTAGGATCCCCACTGTACACAGACCCATAGTGTATGGACAAGATGTTATATCTCTCTAAGGATCTCGAGGTAGTATTGTATAAATTTGAGGAAGGCTAGTCACTGTTGAATATGATTCCCAATCTGGTTGGAAGAAGAGCTTGCGGACAGAGAACACTACGATAATTTGAGATACAATTTATGAAAAAGAACTATTCCACTGTTGAAATAGCAAACAAGGGCAACAGGGGTATGGAGCAGTACAACAAATAGTTGACAATAGCCTGGATATGCGTTTGATCTGCTTGAAATAGGTACCAAGGAATGATTAGATTAACAGATTTATCTATTTCATACGTTATAATTTAACTGACCTGCGTACCCTAAATACAGGTTATCATGGCAACCTTATCTCAAAAATAATTTAAGATATAGCTATACTATTTTAGCATTGTATGTGTAATTGTATAATCTTTAAGTTCTGGAAAAATGAGAGGGATATGTGAAAAAAATCACAAAATAAGAGCATTTTTATCAGAATATATGGATCGCCCCTTGTATATATGACATATATACAAGGGGCGATCCATATATTCGGATAAAAATGCTCTTATTTTGTGATTTTTTTTCACATATCCCTCTCATTTTTCCAGAACTTAAAGATTATGCAATTACACATACAATGCTAAAATAGTATAGCTATATCTTAAATTATTTTTGAGATAAGGTTGCCATGATAACCTGTATTTAGGGTACGCAGGTCAGTTTCCAGCATAACATTTCCAAAAAAAAATTATTTTGAGCCACCCTAATATATGTGTATGCATTTAAATGTGTCTATTGAAAACTATTTTTGTGGTAAATGCTCAGCATTGCTGGCTGTTCATTGGTTGTTATTACTTTTATGAGTTTGGTATAAATATCAGGATTTTACTCAGGTCCAAGCAGTGCTGCTGGGGTTTTCCTGACAAGGTAGGTTGTTTTTCTAGCTTTCATAGCCAAGGTCACGGCATGGATAGATTGCCTGTTAGGAACATCGATAAATTGCATTCAAGACTCTAATTATGGTATCATCATGTGTGTTAAGGTCAGGGTGCATGATGGGAAATTTCCTGCATCCCTCAATCGAGTCGCATGTTATTTTTCAAACAAGAATCAGCTTTACACATGTGCCTAGAAAAGACTTGTGAGAAGAATGGTTTGATAAAGTGTATAAAACATATTATCGTGTTTCTAAAGAATTGCTTATTTTAATCCTGTTTATTTCAAGTTGGTAGGTTCAATATTAGAGTCCATTTCACTGCTTCATTTCGTCAGTAGAACGGCAAAAATAAGAAATTGGGAGCCCATTTTGCAATAATATATGGAAAAGTATATTCATAATGTACATGAATGACATTTGTATATCTTGGATTGCTTCTAGTTTGGCTTATAAAGTATGTGGCCTCGTATATTTAGATTGTTTCTCTGCCATGTTATTTTCAAAAAGATTAACATGGCTGAAATTCTTCAAACTACAAGACGGCACAGGCTTATTGCACAAAAAAACTAAAAAATCTGAAATATAGAAATGTCATTCATGTACATTATGAATATACTTTTCCATATATTATTGCACAATGGTCTCCCAATTTCTTATTTTTGCCGTTCTACTGACGAAATGAAGCAGTGAAATGGACTCTAGTAAAGTTACGGCTTCACTATGGAGGGGCAATTTCTTCGTAAACTAAAAACCGTATTGTCAGCAAAGATTTGACGAAAACACAATATTTTTGCGCCGATTGCATTTCTTCATTTGTGGATGAATCTTTATCAATTTGAAACACGTTTGAGCTAAATATACAAATTGTGCCTTGTCCTTCTCCATGACGCGAAATTCCCGGGTGTGTCTATATTTTTTCTTTTTAAAACATTTAATCAAGTTTATATATTATTACGATTTTTTATTGCTTATACATTTTCCACTGCAGGTGTCATCATCAACGGAAGCACAGAAAGTAACATTAAGGATGAAGATAATTATCAGTCTGACAATCGCAGTTGTGCTTTTAAGCACCTGTCAGGGAATGGCTCGACGCGGCTCAGGTGAGTTCACTTTACATTGTCAATGGCGAATCCAGAAGTTGACAAAGGGAGGGGGCAAATTGTGAATCGGGAGAAAATGTTCCCGGCCCTTAAGGTGCCATGGAAGTTAACAGGAAATGAGGAAACAGGAAGTGAAAAAATTGATTTTTTGGACATTTTTTGAACAAAGATAATAGAGTTCTAGTTTGACCTCCAGTCAATTTAACCAGTTCCACATATTATTTACATGACCAGGATCGAAATTTGCATGGTCAATATGACCCTAATCATGATGAAATTACCTTTTTAGCCATTTGAAAGTGTGACTGAAAAAAGGCTAAAAGTAGAAGGTAGCCAAAGGTCACTGAACAGATATCTTTTGAATTTTTCAGAACATGTGCCCAACATAATGCTCTAACTAATACAATCTTTAAAATTTTAGAAAATCGTCTTAAACATGGCGGTCATAAAAATGAAAATAGATCGCTTTTCTCATTTTTTACATTTTTTTCTTTTTCTGTGAATGATACCAAATTCTCAAAGATTGTATCATTTAGAGCAATATATTGGGCACATTTTCTGAAAAATTCATAAGATTCTGTTCAGTGACCTTTGGCTACCTCCTACTTTTAGCTATTTTTAGGGTCCTTCTGACCATGAACATTGTGATCCTGGACCTGTAAATGGTATTAGGAACTAGTTGAATTGACTGGAGGTCAAAACGAACTCTGTTATCTTTGTTCAAAAAATTTAAAAAATGCAAAAAATGTCACTTCCTGTTTTGTCATTTCCTGTTAACTTCCATAGCACCTTAAAACCAAAATTTGGGCCCAAAATTTAAAAATGTACGCCCAAAAATGCCCCCCCCCCCCCCCTTGATCCGCCACTGATGGTACAACCGTATTTATTTCGTAACATGTTGGCACCAATTTCTCCTTACACATTGACGTGTTATGTAGATTCTTAATCTTGTACACACAGCATGACGTATATGTCTGTCGCAAATCAAATTCTTTGGGAACGCAGAATGACAAAAGTTCATGACACAGAATATTTACTAAAACTGCTCTGAATAACAGTATTTATTCAGTCTACACAAATTATGCTATTAGTGACTGATATTCAAGAGATATATGCATATGATTTATGCACAAACTATTCATGAAAATTTTCTGAGTATAATTGCCTTAAGGCGACGCTATATTAAATAAAAAGTACAAAAATGACTGCCATATTTTTTTGATAAAGACACATGTTTTTAAAATCTGTTTACCTTGTATATGAATTGTGTATCTTGATTAATGAAACATGTCAAAGTTAACATCACACATAAACGCATTTTTCCAAACTATGAATTGGAGGTGCATGGATCCCCAAAGCTAGCATGAAGAGTGCGAAGTGAGGCTAATTTTTGAAAGTTTCAAGGAGTAGCCTTGCAACAGTCACACATTTGCAAGAGTCTAAAATTTCCACAAATCATCTTACCTTTCCCAGGAACAACGAAGGAGCATGAAAATGTGCACTTCATGCATTGTTAGAGTATAATAAAGCTCAAACCATTGTAAATTCTAAATATTTCATGTCCACATTTTGTTTACCGGAACTACTTCTAGACTTCCTGATTAATCCTCATGCACGTTTTGTGACTACACCAAGTGGCATGGATTATCACTTGTATGTTTTATCTATTACAGTGTAATTATCATGATAGATACATGATAGAGGCTTTATGAATGATAAACAATGGAAACATGAATGAAGATAATTCTGGACTAAAAAATAGTTCCAGGAAACAAAATGGTGGACATAAAATATTTAGAATTCACAATGGTTTGAGCTTAATTATACTCTAACAATGCAAGAAGTACACATTTTCGTGCTCCTTCGTTGTTCCTTGGTAAGGTAAGACTATATCTAGAAATTTTGAATTCTTGCAAATGTGTGTCTGTTGCAAGGCTACTCCTTGAAACTTTCAAAAAATAGCCTCACTTCGCACTCTTCATGCTAGCTTTTGGGAGCCATACACCTCCAATTCATAGTTATGAAAAATGCGTTTAAATGTGAGGTTTTCTTTTATGTGTCTCTTTAGTCAGGAAATGCATTCACATACAAGGAAAACAGTATACAAAATCTTCTGACTTTATCAAAAAAATATGGCTCCCATGTTTTTGTACTTTTGATTAACTTAAATGTCACCTTAAAGGCAGAATCAGATCTATGGGGGTGACAAAATTACAAGCAACATGTACAATTGACCAAACAATCTACATGTATTGCTTACAATCTAAAATGCAATATCTCCCAAAAGATTCACAGTACTTGTTATAAATTGTTAGGGTTTTGTTAGACTGGTCGCTAGATCTGATTCTCTCTTTAAGCTTCTGCGGATATATTTCCCGGATCTTCTTGGAATCACTAAAATGCAGGATAAGATGTAACAATGAGAACTATTTACGCACTTTTAATTAATAACGATATCTCTAATTCTCAATGTTAAACTAAAAGTGTAATGTTGAATGGTTGTTCTAGGCTCAAACAATCGCCAGAATTGAAGTAGTGCTAAAACCAATTTAAAATCTTTTATTAGCTTGTCTTTAGCACAAATAACATCTCTTTTGTTATTTTGACTACGAAACTTGTGACCAATGTCAGTCTGTCATTTTAGTTTGAGACATGATAAATATTTTTACTTCTAAAGGGATTGACCACACGGCATTACTGTTCATCATTTTCAAAGATATAAACATTGAATAGAATAGATAATAAATAAGTAATAATTTCATAACGTGTTAACACCAAGATCATTTCATACGATTTCAACTGAAAATGAGATCAAAATGGACTCCAAACTCACAATAGGTGGTACTACTCATCAAACACACTTTAATAATTTGTAAAAGTTATTACAGTATAACGATTTCGATGTGCCTTATATTAGTATAGTTTCAAGTACATCATTGACTTTTTGTGAACTTGTTGTGCATCATACACCATTACATTTTTTATTCATTTTAGATTTCAGCAATGGTCGAATTTACAAAACCATCAAATAAAAAAGCAGCATTACATTAATGTTAAAATATGATAAATTATATAGAGAGCATATAAGGGTGTGTCATTTTTCAAGAATGTTCTCAGATCATAACGGTAGTTCACGGATTTTATTCAACAAAATCGGATGATTTCAAAACTGGTCCGTTGGCCAATCTTTCCGTCCCATTGGATTACATTGTGGGCGACGCCCACTTTTCAATGGAAAACATTATTTCGCACTTCTTTGCTCATCATTTGCCGGAAATAATTGGTAATGTTTTCCTTTATAAGCATTTAGACATACACCAAAACACTTTCAATGGGTGCAAACTAGATTGTTCTGGCACTTTCTGTCGCCGAGATATTGCCAGTCTACTAAGCTGTAGTCTACTGTGGGTGGGGGTCAAAAATAAAAATTGATTTCGGTAGATTTGCAAGGGGATATTTTCTTATTTCATGATAAAACATTTCTAAAACATTTCAAATTGTTGACAGAAAAGAAAAGCATTCGTGAATTTAACTTCCCAAGATATGCATTTTATATTTCTTTGACCCCTGGACCAGTAGATCTGCAATATCTTTGCGATAAAAAGTGCAAGAACAGTCTAGTTTACATCAATTGAAAGTGTTTTGATGTATTCTCAAATACATATATCAGAAAAATTGGTTCTAACCAATTCCGGTAAATGAGCAGCAAAGAAGTGCGAAACATTATTTTCCATTGAAAAGTGGGCGTCGCCCACAATGTAACTCAATGGGACGGAAAGAATGGCCGACGGGCCAGTTTTAACGTTATCCGATTTTGTTGAAAAAATCATCGAACCACCAGCACCATCTGTAACCCCATGTTTACAGTTAAAGGGCCCTTGTAATCTCGGAACATTCTTGAAAAATGAAACACCCTAGAGCATATAGAAGAAAATCCTTGACCTTGGTTTTGGAAACTAGGTAAAGCGTTGCAAAGTTCACATCTTTTGTTTTTATCATTTCTTTGGTTCCATTGACTCAACATGTAATCAATCATATAATCAATATGGTGATATCCCCGTGTTAAGTCATTGGAGAGGTTAAGCTTTGCATATATAATCGAAACTGAACCTGTACGTATCACTCGACCATATACAAATGCGTGTAGCCTTCTCATATAAATAGCCGTTCAAATCCAGTGTTTGTTTAGACTACACCATAGCGTGTAATGATTCTATAGTATGTCATTGATGCGGTTTATAGCTGGTTGTCTAATACATATTTTAAACAAGCTCGTTTCGTAAGATTTTTGGCGCTAAATCATGCATGACATACATCATCGTGTTCAGCAAGAATTCAACTGTGCATCGAAATCAAAATTGACAGCATAGTGTTCAATAGACACGAGTAAAATGGTTCCCGTTGACCCAACGTCAAATATCAAATCTCCCGTTCTAAACCCGAAACTCTGAAGCTGAAAGAGTATCTGAAGTAGACTAAGCGCGCATAAAATTATGAGCGCTCGATACATTCCTTTGTTATTTTTTGTACTTTGCGTTCACGGTTACGTTGTGAAAAACATCGTTAGCTTAACCTCTCCATTGTTTTGAAAATGCAGAATGACATACAGAATAACATTCAGATATCGTTTTTCAATTATTTTAGCCATTTGATGCTTTCTTGACACTTCTTGTGTTTGAGACATTAAATGCCAATAACTATTTATTTCCATTGTTTCCTGCTTAAAGGTGTGGGGTTCACTGCTATTCAGTGATTTCTAAGCACTGTCAAAGTGTTATTTTCAATTACAGTCCCCTCCATAAGTTTGGCAACCTTTTTTTCCCCCATTGAACTATGTGTTAAAGCCTCTTTACCTTTGAATTTTTATTTACTTAACCTGCAATGAAAATACTTATACTATTGATGGAAACATACTGAGAAAATTTGGAGGTATTGCAAAAAAGTCAAGTTACGTTTCCATCAATATTATAAGTTATTTCATCGCCGGTTAGGTAAATAAAAATTCAAACGTAAAGAGGCTTTAACACGTAGTTCAATGGAGAAAAAAGGTTGCCAAACTTATGGAGGGGAGTTTATAAGAAATAATAAAAAGTTACCCTTTTCAATTTCATCGAGAGGATGACATAGGGGTAGTAGTCGCACACATTTCACCTCCATTTCCATCTGATGGGCCTGTACATTTAGTTTTGTTCATAGATTTAACTGTTATTGCAAATAAGATCAAGAATCAAATTATCAAAAGATCGTGAATCAAAAAAGGTGTGACAATAAGTGCGACCCTGGAGTACACCGATGATAAAGATAATAGGAACATGTATTACACATCAAATAAATAGTTATAATCTTACTAGGTCAAATCAAGAAGAAGATAGATGTGGAATGAAATTGAAATAAATGTGACAATTTTTTAAAGAAGTTAGACAAAAAATACAGACAGACGGTCTCATTTTCAATTAATCGAATAGAATTAATATAGTTTGCTAACTAACTTTCCGACAACCAATGGACCGATATATATTGAAACCAAGCTTGATAGAGGCTAATTGATAATGTTGATATATTTAGGATCGCCTCAAAATCCTTCGATGTTGTCGACCAATGGTAGATGTGGACCTAAGTTCGAAAACCGTGAATGTCCAATCGATTCGCTTGTACCTGGCTGGATTTCTGTGACCCCATGCTGCGGTGAAAGTGGATGGTGTGGCAACTCCCCTGAGCATTGCAAGTACATCGATTACAGAAAGCCTGAATCTCTAAAACAAACAGGTATGACGACAGGTAGAACCTCAATTGGTATGGAATACAAATATATGTAAACCCCCCTGTGATAAGTGTGGACAACTTTTTAAAGCTATCAATGATAAATATGTCGACAATGCCCAGAAAAATTGTTTCGTATTGATACCTCGCTAATTAAAACGATATTTGTTGTATATTTCTTACGCACTAAGCAAGTAAATTCGGTATGACAACAGAATTAGAAGTACACGTTTTCGTTCTTGGGCTTGTTATTCGAGAATTGTTTGAAATAACGATAGTGATATGAAAAAGTGGTGTAACGTTCGAAAATAACAAAGTAAAAACAGCAATTAAAATATAACAATGTACAGATTTATATTTTTGAAAAACGAAGTGATATAACAATAATATATAAAATATAATATAATAAGTTCAATCGGCGATACGCCTAATTGCCTTTTGGTCCATTTTCTCAAGTGGTAGAAAAAAACATGAAATAGATTTTCTAACGTTGAGTGTAACGAATCAGTTCGAAAATTACTTAAAGTATTACGGAAGGCGAAATGTGTATTGCGTAGCATTTTTATAAGGGTGATCGTAGGTGGTGAGTAGGGTATTCACGCTTGGAGTATTTCATTTGGACATGTAAATTATTTATAATTAATAATAATATTCAGAAGTTGAGATTTGTGGTATGGAACGAGATGTATTACGTAGTTGCTTGACGTAAATGGACTGATGAATAAATGTCATACTCGCCCACAAGGTCATTACTACTTGCAAGTTAATTTAGTAGTTGTGTTCTGTTTTTGGTAAACATGGAGTTTAGTTCACTTAACATGATTTCGCGGGAACTTGCGTGTGATCTTTGAATTAAAGAAGGACTTTGGTTTGTACCCGTGCTAATCTCTACGCGATTTCGGTCTGTAACAATGAACAGAATAAAATTTTCAGTCATACGCGTACGCCATAAATCATAGAATCTTGGTCTTTATTCCTGAAATAAAACTTGATATATTAGAACCATTCAATAAGAATAAAATTAAACGCTTAACACTAGATACATTTAAACGTGTGTCATAACCTATGAATGTTAATCTTTGATAAGATGTAAATAAATGTAAACATATTATTATATCTTATTTTAGCATGCAGGGAACTAGAAGATGAAGAAAGGGCTATTCGTCATAGGATAAAAGAGAAAAAGGAAGAGTTGAAATGCAGAAATGATAGGGTGAGTTGTAGATAAATATTGTGAATGATTTTGAAAAGAATGAGTGCTGAACAACTAATGGGATGTTGAGATTTTTCTATACAAATTTCAAACGATATCTAACCATGCGAGATAACAAGCAGACTAGATACATTTGGTTACCAGCTGGCAAAATTACATGCTTATGCGGTTTCAAATAAAAAGCATTCCAAACCCCCTGTGACAACATGGAAACTAGGTCAAAAGGCATATTCATACTTGTTTTTTTATTATTTTTTATTTTTATATTTCCTTTATTTCATAATATATCATACAAACAGATACAGGGCCTACGCCGAAGCATTATTGGCCCTGTTGAAGTAGTTACAATATAAGTTAAAATAGGTCACAATGTAAACATGATAGATATAGAACATATTTATGAACATGAAAATAATCGTGAAAACGTGAAGACAGGTCAGAGATTTATGTACAAATTAATGAGTATTGGACTATTTAACTTCCTTGACAACAGAGTGTAAAAATTCGGCTGTGAATTCAATAGCCTTTTTATTTGTATTTGTGTCAAGAGAAGGATCTGCAAAAAGTAGAAAGTCTACCCGGTCTTCCTGTTCTCTATTATTAAAAGAGTTTAAATTAAAGGATGCTGCCTATTCATACTTGTCAGCATCTCTATTTTGTTTCGAGTTATTAATAAAACTAATTATAAACTCTAATATCACGTTTGGGACATGGTGAAATTAAAATTGAGAAGAAGATGATTTTGAGTGGAATTTTGAGTGATTTTGAGTGGAATTTTTAGTGAACATTGAGTGGTAACCTACATATATGTCTTAAACAGTTCCTTCTTGGACATATAAATCTGTTTGTGAATATTTTGTATGGAACAATACAACAATAGATAAACGAATTTTAGATTGGAAGTGTCTTGTCCAAACGAATTGTACAAACACATACAAAGTACCTCGATCATCTATCTGGAGTATTGGGTTCTTCATACCTCGCAGCAGATTGTCTCAATTACAAAGAATTACTAATGCACTATATGCTCTAACTTTAATATTCTTCAATTCAGCCGAGATTTTGTGTATATAACAATTGAAGTTTTATCTATTATATCTTGAAGTTTCAGCATCAAACATTAATAGTAAGTCTAAATATGGTTGCTATAACAACATGGTGGTAGGGGTGGGCGGGGCAGGTACCAATTTTTCTAATTATGAAAAGATCTAAAATGTTATTTTATTAATATTTCTTTTCTTAAAATGGTCAAAATGTTTGGGAAATTGTTAAATATTCAGCATGGTCTTAACCAAGTACAAATAATGACATTTAGCACTGTGATGTCATAATACCACATTTCAATAGTCAAAAATTCAAATACAGTCACAGTCAAGAAATTGCAAAAAGGCTGCAATTCTTACCTGATAACAGAAGGCCTTCTATTTGGTGGCCTAATTTCATACTTCACTTGGATTCACAGCCATGCAAAACAATGCTACCATGAAGAAAGTATATAAGGAGTATATACCAGATAGAACTACAATTATGGGTTGGCAGAGTAAATTTAAAAGAGACAATTTGACTCTGGATGACAACTCTAAACATGGGAGGCAAAAACCCACAAGTCACAGTGAAAGAAATTGCCAAGAGTGTTTGACCCGACAGGCATCAAAAGTACATAACATGCAAAGGGCAATATTTTGAGAAAATGTGAAACGGGACACTGTGCAATATACATCCATTAAATCTAGTATGTGCTCATAGTAATTTAGTATCTTAAAATTTATTTTTGAGCATTCTTCTTAGCTACACAAAATGGTATTTGTTGATTAATTATTTCATATTTTCAATTGTTATTCCTTGACTATAACCTGCCCCGCCCTACCCAAACTCACCGTCTTGATTTTATTATAACATAGATATAGTTTTATCATTCAACATGAAATTTTGTAGAATAATCAAACTGTCTCAAAGGAACATTTACTGAAAGGATGTGTCCGGGTATATGCCCTTTTGGTCCCTCAGTCAAATGTATGTGAAATATGTTTTTTTTTACTGTCCTAGTTATATTTGATAAGTATATTTACTTTTTCACGAGTTTTGATGCATAATTAACCCGCTGCTGAGAGTCAGAATAAGTATCTTAACAAAACAAAAAATAGTCATTATCATAGAAAAAAACACCAATGACAACATGTATGACATACAAAGAAGAAATAACCTAAGACCCATGAAGAAATAAAAAGAAAATCATATTTTGAAATATATTTAAGAATTAATTTTTTTTTCAAATTTTTGAATTTCCCGCCAGTTTAATTTGAAGGGGAAAAAACAAGATGGTTGCCAATTGATGTAAGAAATATCAGAAAAAAAGGTTGCTTCACTTTTAGTTTTCACAATGAGCACAGTTTTCCGGTTTAGCTTTTTTGACTGATTCTGACTCTTCATCACCAGGATCATGTATAGAGATTATAAAATTGAAACCCAAATGTTGTGCTCAGCATGAATTTGACTGAAATATATGTAACATCACCAACACAATTGAAGTCTCAAAACTGGATGCTCAGTAACTTTGAGTGACTATAATCCCTTGATTACCCAGATAAACACCAATTCACTTATCCAGAAATACCATTCAATGTCTATACAAAGAAAGTAATTAATGTTTTGGAAGATATGTTTCAAACGTTTTGCATAAATAATTCATTTAATATTTGGCATGGATTTTTTTTCAATTCTGACAAAGTGATATGCACTGTCTTTGATGCCAATATTCTTCATCAATTGTGATACAAATTGATATTTTTGTAATCTCAGAAGAAGGATAAGATACTGAAGTTTAATAATATGTGTGGTTGAGTTGGTTTTTCAGACATTACAATTTTCAATATTTTCTAAGTTGATACCCAGACTCATTCCCAGACTCATCCTTTCATGGAAAAATATCAATTTTTATTAAGTTAGAGCATATAGTGCATTACTTCTGGGACAACCCTCGTACATATGAAAGTATGCAATAATAATTGCTTCAAAATGTCAAGTTAAAAGTTACAGTCACCTATATTAGTCCCAGGAATACGCTTTTCAAGGTAATATTCTCAACAATTGTGATGGATTCCGACGGATTAATTTCTTGGAAATGAAAATTACAAATGTATTTGCTTTATTTTTGTCTGACCAGTCAAGGATAAATATTTGAAAATCTCTATTCATAAACATCTGGGAAGACATTAAAAGCGAGGATATCGTGATAAGTATTCCATTTTAACAACGAATGCGCAAAACATGTACATAGGACAATTTTTGATAATTGATATTTATATTTTAAAAATATGTTGTTGTACTAGAGACTACGACATATTGTTGATTTCATGGACATGCAAGGTGTTATTTTTTGTTGACCAGACTTAAAGCAATCATTACCAAAATGTACCCGTTTGGGAAATTGCTTATCTTTTTAAACATTTTCACTTTGTTGAGGGTTGTGGTTTGTTTTCAGTAGTCATAGGCCAAAATGCCCTATACGTCACTTCCGCTGAATAGAAAAAAGTAGTATTCAAAAATAAATGTAGTCCCAACACAATTGTGATCATGACGAGTCAGTAAGCTAGTATGTAGGCACAGTTGTAATCTTTTTGCAATGTCAACATGCCATTTCTTCTGAAAATGCGTTTATTTGGGTTATCTGAAGGAAAATTTCGAGTCAAGTGGCGTATTAATTTTGCCTTCATTTTTGTGAATTTCAATTTGTGTCTGCAGAGAGAGGGGGTAGTGTCACAATTGACCAATTATTTCAAAAAGTAGATGATTGGCCCCTATTGAGTTTAGTGTCAAGATGTAGCTTAGACATAGCTTTAGAACCTCAGATAGGCCAGTGAGGCCACATAAATCTATAACTCGAGATAAAAAGTCAGGCGTTTGCCCTTTTGCCCATTGACTAGTATGGTGACGTGAATTAGGGCAGTTTTGCCTATTAGTCACATGTGAAAGTGACCAACATTTTTTAAAACTACTCAGAATCGCCCAGAATTGAAGTTTATTAGTGTGAAACATATTTTGGACGGAGGCAAAAAGGGGAATTTTCATGAACAAATTTAATGTTTTTGCTGAATCAGCAGTTTTCGGTTTTTACCCCCAAAACCACTGATTTTGACGATATTTGGCTACAATTTTGTCCTTAGTGACCCCTAAATGTCATTAGTTGTCGTAAATGGGGAAGCCAACGAGTTGCTATTCATCATAAAGATTGAATTTTCCATCTTATGGTGTCCAGTATAGAAAGAAGGTACATATCGGGGGTGCAGTCAGAAATTGGTGAGTTAAGTGTCAATTTTTGATGTATTTGTTCACTCTGAATGACTACATTCGAGCTAAAAAATATCTCAAAAGTCCCAATTCTCTAGGCCAGAGTCAAAACTGATCAAATTTGTCATCATTTTTCAAATCAGGAGGTTGTTGAATGGAATAAAGTATGAAAAAGTGATGATTTTAGTAAGATTTTGCCAAAAAGTGGGCCAAATTTGTCCAATTTTCTGGTTCACGGTTCAGTGATTTTGGCTAAAAATCGCAATATGCAATAAAATACTCAATTTCTTGACACGATACTGAAAAATGTCACCATCAGGCAGTGGATTTCATGATGTAAATGAAAAACTAGTCAAATTTAAAGGAAAACCATTGGGTTCTTGGAAAAATGACCCCAGGGGTAATGAAGTAGCCATATTTTTCATAATTGCTGTCAGAATATTCTTAAACTGCACAAAACTACTTGAAAAACTCTAGTAAATTGGAAAAACGCAATTTAAAGCCAGAAATCACCCAACCATGTGGCTTTTAGGCCAAAATGCCCTATACGTCACTTCCGCTGAATAGAAAAAAGTAGTATTCAAAAATAAATGTAGTCCCAACACAATTGTGATCATGACGAGTCAGTAAGCTAGTATGTAGGCACAGTTGTAATCTTTTTGCAATGTCAACATGCCATTTCTTCTGAAAATGCGTTTATTTGGGTTATCTGAAGGAAAATTTCGAGTCAAGTGGCGTATTAATTTTGCCTTCATTTTTGTGAATTTCAATTTGTGTCTGCAGAGAGAGGGGGTAGTGTCACAATTGACCAATTATTTCAAAAAGTAGATGATTGGCCCCTATTGAGTTTAGTGTCAAGATGTAGCTTAGACATAGCTTTAGAACCTCAGATAGGCCAGTGAGGCCACATAAATCTATAACTCGAGATAAAAAGTCAGGCGTTTGCCCTTTTGCCCATTGACTAGTATGGTGACGTGAATTAGGGCAGTTTTGCCATACTTCTATTTCAGTAGAATAATGAAGTCCCAGTTACCTCGTGACCTTGACATCAGTCATCTGATCTTTTTCCAGGGGATGGATCATTCTTACTCCATTTTTTCAATATACATTCATATGTACTACTCCCCTCAACAAACTGTTCATAATTTTATAAATCCAATTATTGGATAATTATTATTTATTCTGATTCTAACAGTTTGCCGTCAGGGAGCATAATTAGTGCAATTAAATGATAATTTAATTAGCCCAATTAAAGGGATATGTTTCATAACTTACTTAGAAACCTCCCTTAATAAGCTTAATTAGGCTAATCATCTATTGATTCTTATTAGATTAAGGTGGGGCATACGCCAAATCTATCTTATGAGCCTCTGAATGTTGAGGTTTATTTATCAGATGCTCAACTAAACTACATGCTTAACTAAATTATGTTACATAAACACTTTACTTAACATTTTATATAATCGTGCATCGATGCATATATTCAGTGATTGATATTTTGACATGCTTTGTATTAGTGATGAATTGATAACTTTTGGTTTAAATTTAGGTTTCATCAAACACATTTTATATTAATATATATTAATATGTAATTAAATAAAGTTAGCAAATTCAATTGCCTGCCCAACTCGTATTTTTGCAAGGACTCCGATGGATGGATATTCTCTCATATGACTAACGGCAAACCTACCATTTCCCACTGGTTAACATGGGAATGTCGATTTTCAAAAATTCATCATATTTATCATCAATTTTCGACTTATTGCAATTGAGGAAAAAAATTGAGAAAATTTGAAAGTATTGGAAATGAAGTCAAATTACGTTTACATCAAAAGTATTTTCATCGCAGGTTAAGTAAATAAAAATTGAAAGGTAAAGAGACTTTAACACATAGTTCAATGGGGGGGGGGGGGCTAAGGTTGCCAAACTTATGGAGGGGAGTGTATGTCGGCCTTTGTGGCTGCTTGCACTTTATTGATAAAGGATTTTGTCACATCTTTTTATGATCAAACATTGTTTGTTGAATATTTGTATTAATCAGAGGAAAACAAAGTTTAACCAGGGGAGAACATGGGTTAACCAGAGGAGAACATGGGTTAACCAGAGGAGAACATGGGTCAACCAGAGGAGAACATGGGTTAACCAGGAGAGAACATGGGTTAACAAGAAAAGAACATGGATGAACCAGGGGAGAACATTTGTTAGCCAGAAAAGAGCATGGGTTAACCAGAGGAGAGAACATGAGCTTACCAGGGGAGAACATGGGCTTACCAGGGGAGAACATGGGCTAACCAGGGGAGAACATGGGCTAACCAGGGGAGAACATGGGTTAACCAGGAGAGAACATGGGTTAACCAGGAGAGAACATGGTTTAACCAGGAGAGAACATTGGTTAACCAGGAGAGAACATGGGTTAACCAGAAAAGAGCATGGGTTAACCAGGTGAGAGAACTTGGGCTAACCAGGGAAGAACATGGGCTAACCAGGGAGGACATGGGTTAACCAGGGGAGAACATGGGTTAACCAGGGGAGAACATGGGTTAAATAGGGGAGAACATGTGTTAACCAGGGGAGAACATGTGTTAACCAGGGGAGAGAACATGGGTTAACCAGGGGAGAGAACATGGGTTAACCAGGGGAGAACATGGGTTAACCAGGGGAGAACATGGGATAACCAGGGGAGAACATGTGTTAACCATTGGAGAATATGGGTTAATGAGGGGAGAACATGGGCTAATCAGAGGAGAGAACATTGGGTTAACCAGGGGAGAACATGGGTTAACCGGGGGAGAACATGGGTTAACCGGGGGAGAACATGGGTTAACCGGGGGAGAACATGGGTTAACAAGGGGGAACATGGGTTAACCAGACGAGAACATGAGTTAACCAGACGAGAACATGGGTTAACCAGGAGAGATTCCGAGAGAACATGGATTAACCAGAGGAGAACTGCATACAATGTATTGTATCTTATTATTATTTCCAGCAGTTGATTGTAAGTTAAACTATAAAATGGTGTAACCCCAAATCAAATCCTTTTGAAAATGTTTAAAATGCTAGCTATATAGTTGTACAATTTTGTATTTATAGGGTCAAGGGTCATATGTAAGACCTGGAAGTAATGGTCAGTTAGCTGGAAGTTTTGGTTTTGGACCTGGACCTAATGGTTTTAATCTTGGTTTGGGCTAAAGACCATTTTGAGGAGCTAAAGATCAGAAAGAGCAGGCAATGGAACTACAGCGTGGAATGAAGGCAAAGTTACAACAAATCAAAGCAAGACTCATTAACTAACATCATCAAGAAATTCAGGAAAGACACGTCCTTAGTGCATCTATTTATTCTACGAGACATTTAAGAAGCTTCAGAAAGTAAAGTGAAAACATTACAAAAATAAACATTTTTCATAAATCAAATTAACAATATTACGTAAAATGAAAAAGTATACAAATAAACGATTTTCGCATGCATATAAATGCCTTACAAGTTATCTGTTCTCTTTATCACATCAAACATCTTCTTCAAATAGACAGTTTCAAAACAATTAATTGCTCATTGATACACTCTCAATTAATTTATTGCAGCATCATCTGGGGTAACACATTTAAATCATTCTGGGATCGTCTACATAAACTGCAGAAACAATTCTTTATGCTAACTTTAAATAAGGATATTTTCTCACTCCGCTCCCCTATTCAAAGAGCTAAAAATATTCAATATTTTTAATATTAACAAATATGCTATTAGTCGGTTCATGTTCAAAATCCTTAATTAACACCCAAGTCTTCCAAAAATCTATTTCAAGACATGTTTGCATTATCACCAAAATGTCTTGAGTAAATATTCAATTATTTGATACAGACTTCACTACATTATTCACTAGGTATATTACCATCGTGAGATATCACAGCCTTCTCTCAGTTTCCTACTAGAAAAATTCTTGTGCATAGCAGAGATGGTCAGAGTATCAGAATGGTATATTACCGATACCTATCAAAATGATTAAGTAACTCAATAATATTGTATTTGTAAAATAATTTGCTTTCATTTGATACACAAATCAACACCTTTGAACTAATATTATTAGAATTGTATCCCCAAAGCCAACATAGTTGTTCTTAGCATTGTGTATTCAGCAATTGGAAAATCATTACCTTGACCCTGTGATATGCGAAATGTTAGTTCAAGACAAATACCCATTTATGTGAAATTAATTACATATCATTGTGTTAATTGGAAAATGAATTTTCTTTCTAATGATGTATGATTTAAACATATTTCTGTAATATTAAAAATGGTATTTACAATTAATTTTAAGATGTAACAACCAACATTTTGCAGAGACCTAGGTTCCTTCTCGGACCCATCTATTTATTTTGTTTTTAGGTCTTAAGTGGCCTTATGAAGAAAAGCCCAAAGGAGTGGTGTCGATATTGAGAACTGAATTCAACAATGTTTTTCTCTTTAACCAATCATTGAAACCATTCTGTAAAAAACAGGGTATTTTATGTAATGTTGATCCTGATTGGCATTCTATTTCATTTCGAAAAAATAACTCAGTCATGAAAAATAGTAAATAAATGATAAAAACATATTGTCAAACTTTACATGAGACCTTTAAAAGATGGCAGCCCTGGGTTGAATCAAAAAGTACATTTTAATTAAAGTACTAATTCGGTAATTTCTGTTTATTTTTTCTCACTACAAAAGATTAAACAGACATTGGTAAGTAAAAATAGTATTCCAACAGACTCTCAACTCATTCCGTTTGTTCATTAGTGGCAAAATAAGATTTCCCGGGAAAAAACATGACATCACGCACAGAACCGGTTATGGATCATGGATTTTCAACGGCAATGCGTTATGCAACTAAAGTACCAAGTTAAAATTGTTTATGTTATATTGTGTTCTGATTGGCCAGAAAGGAGTAACGCTTACCGAAATCACCTCGTGGTTCAATGCCTTTTGGTTACAAGATTTTAGACAGCTTGAGTTATGTAATACTATCAACTGAGCGTGTTTATTTTTTCTATATTGTGTTCTGACTGGTCAGAAAGTAGTTCTGCATGACTAGCGCTGGGTCGGAAGCTCTAATTTGGGTATTATATTTTAGCTCACATGGTGAGCTTTTGCAATCACTAACTTGTCCGTCTGTCTGTCCGTCCGTCTGTCCGTCCGTCTGTCCGTCCGTCAACAATAGTGGCACTTTTAAAACCTCTGTCGATAGGATTCCTGTTTTAAGTTATTTCTGTTCAACATCAATACAGAAAACTCCCTTATGACTCCTGGTTCAAAAGCTCGCCTATTTTCAAAATGGCCGCCACTTTTGTCTCTCGAAATTCACTTTTGACCCATTTGTTTTAAAACCTCTGTCGATAGGATTCCCATTTTAAGTTATTTCTGTTCAACATCAATACAGAAAACTCCCCTATGACTCCTGGTTCAAAAGCTCGCCTATTTTCAAAATGGCCGTCACTTTTGTCTCGCGAAATTCACTTTTGACCCATTTCCTAGCTTTACAAATAATTCCAGGTGTCCTACACTGTAAAAATCCATGTCAATGTAAAGGGTAGATATATGTAATAATATTGTTACAAAAAATCAGCGAAAATTATATCCATTTTTTTATTTTCAGCCATTTTAGTTAACATTGATTTGTCTATCTGACTCGCGAAATCCACTTTCCGTCAATAACAGTGGCACGTTTTAAAACCTCTGTCGATAGGATTCCTGTTTAAGTTATTTCTGTTCAACATCAATACAGAAAACTCTCCTATGACTCTTGGTTCAAAAGCTCGCCTATTTTCAAAATGGTCGCCATTCTTGTTCCGCGAAATTCACTTTTTGCCCATTTCCTAGCTTTACAAATAATTCCAGCTGTCCTGCATTGTAAAAAGCCGTGTCACTGTAAAGAGTAGTTGTATGAAATAATTTTGTTACAAAAAATCGGCAAACTATTATATCTGTTTTTTTTATTTTCAGCCATTTTAGTTAACATTGATTTGTCCATCTGTCTCGCGAAATCCTCTTTTGAATCATTTGCTTAAAACCTCTGTCGATAGGATTCCAGTTTCACATTATTTTTGTTCAACATCAATACAAAAAAACTCCCCTATGACCCCTGGTTCAAAAGCTTGCCTGATTTCAATATGGTCGCCATTTTTGTCTCGCGAAATTCAATTTTGGCCTATTTCCTAGCTTTACAAATAATTTCAGGTGTCTTGCATTGCAAAAAGCCATGTCACTGTAAAGAGTAGTTGTATAAATAATTTTGTTCCAAATAATTGGCAAAAAAATTATATCCCTTTTTTTCTCAGCCATTTTACTTAAAGTGTGCGCCAAAGTTTAATACTGCGCAGGCGCAGCGTTCTCGCTAAACTATATAAAGAGATCACCGGGTACACGATTCAGAGGTAAGCAAGGAAGGCGATCAATCTTCGTCTCGTGATGATTTACCGTATAATCGTAACCAGGGAAGTTTCACCTTTGAAATTGAAAATTACTATTAGATGTACTTTGTAGATGTTATTTATGAAGCTATTTAGTGTATGTATCAATCAAATGGCTAATTTTGGACATATAAAAAGTATTTGTCTTTTGTTTCCCCGGGAATCGTATTCCCACACATGAATAGTGTACATTATGTAGTACATATTGAATAGCCTGGTATAGTAACACCGTGTTTATATAATATTGAAGGGCATGCTGATTGTACACACGAGTACATGCATGCTAGAAGGCCTAATTTTATATAGCTTGCATACCTAAATAAAAAATAAACCCTTCTAATCCCCTTATGTAAATACGGCGGTATACGTAGCCCGATTTATCGGAATCTTTAACATCGATTTGTCCATCTGTCTCTCAGTCAGTCCAAAATAGTGGCAAGTGGCTTGAAATAATTTTGTTACAAAAAATCAGCAAAAAATTATATCCGTTTTTTTCTGTCACCATGTGAGCCCAGTACCCACGGTACTAATTTTTTTATTTATCGTAAGAAAACGTGGCTCCAAAGTAGTCATCTCTGAGTCAATTCCTCACTTCATTGAATGCTGTTGCAATCAATTACACTAACACTTTATAAGCACGTTCGGAGATTATGAACTCCAACAACATATATTCAAAACCCGTTCTGTTCGTGATGTCATGATTGGCATTTGACATTGTGTTCCCGATTTTGAACATCAACTTTCACATTTATAAAAATATTTACAAAAACGGTACCTGGTTTGACATGTTAGTGGTATTTACTTCATTTAGAACGTGTATAAACTGTATTTTGACCCCATGAGCATCGAACAGTCACTTTAAATTGATTTGATTTGACTATTAATTCGGGGAGTCACTTTCCATATTCATTCAATGTTATGATGTCTACTTCAATTACAATGCTCAGTGAACATATGTAAACTACTATGAAGTTGTGAATTAATGTCTGAATAACCCTTATACAGGGTGACACAAAAACTGCCACCAACTTACATATATTTTAGTATAACTTCTTCAATAATCAAAAATGAGATATCTCCCAACTTCTAAGTTGTTGAGGCTATGCGAGCATTCCAATCTTTATCCATTGAACAATCTGTATCTTCACTTAAAAAAATCGTGAAGATTCTTGAATCATTGAGAAAGTTATTCCCCAATTAGAGGGTGCAACTTTTTTGTGTCACCTGGCTTATACTTACTACCTGTAATTTACTCCTAAGTTCTTCACTAGAGGTTCCTGGTTTTGTAATAATCTCACCAAGACCTTCCATATGAAAAAAAATTATCCAATTTTTAATGACTATCTGCTATTTTTCATGCTATCACATATTCAGGATTTTCCTGTTTTTTTTTTTTTTAAAACTGATGATTATCTGCTTATGCCATAATAATAACTTCTAAAAAGGTAGGTGACATTAGTCTTTTGATTATATCAAGTTGTTTTAACATTTTTTACTTTTAATGAGTGAAATAATGGTGGTATTTGTTCATTGCATTAAGATACAGTGTCAGTATTTGATGAGTGGAAGTTCCAGAGTGAAAACAATTCACTAAAAATGCCAATATAATGAATAATATTGCGAATGCTTTTTCACCAGAGAATCACTGATCAGAAATAAAAATAAATATGAAGATAAAAAATATTAACATTTACAAAATAATATAAAAAATATGGCGCCAAAAAGTCCATATTTTTCATTTGGTGATAACCTTTCTTATTGTCAAATAAAAACATGCAGTTATTTTAGGCCACCCTGTACATGCATATATTAAGCAATAATTACACCAAATAAAACCTTTGCAAGCTTTTCAAAATCCATCGTTTTGTCCCTCATTGCGAGTTCGCAGAAATGGTGCCTAAGAGGTAAGAACCAAAGATATATCTTCATTAAAATTGTTCTTAATAGACTAGAATCAGGGGGTTGAAAATATAATGACATCTTATATTTTGACGAGCAGGCAAGTCATGTTTACTAATTGAAAGGAAAGGGGTTCCTAAATTGATACTGAGATTTAACAAAACGAAATAG